ATTTTAGGTGTAACAACGAAAATGAATGGTGTCAGATCCATGAAAATATTATTCGCAAGTCCAGCACCAAATACACAGCACCCAGCTCAAACTATGGTAAATATTTACGTGTACATTTTTGTCATAATAACAGCCGAAGATTTCCTTTAGGAAACTGCTAATTACTTGTAGCAGAGAAATTCAGCGAGATGTGAGATTATGCATAGCTGAATTTCTCTACTTGTGATGATTTAAAAGTTTAGCTAAAATACATTCACATTCCATTTACGGGTGAAAAGCTGCATTGTGTCTGCCAATTTAACCAGGAATTAAAAAAACCACACCTGCCTGATATCTTTCTTTTTCAGATACAGCTGACAATAATATTAATTCAGCATTCTAAATTTCCTTCATCATTGTATCTGTAGTGCTGTTTTATCTAGAGGGATCAGCAGTGGACAGAGCTAGTGGCCTGCTGTAGTATAAGTTACTCTGTGAGTCTTCATTTATTGCTGTTACAGTTACCACATTTAACTCTGCTTGTAAAAACTGCTAGCCCGGGGGGGGGATATGACATAAGCAGCAATCGGCATTGGTAGAACTCCTTTAAAAGTTGGTGTTTTGGGGTTTTTTGTGACACTGGCTTAAGTTACTGTGACCAGACTTGTCTGCACAGGAAGAATTTAAATTTTATTCCTTAGAATTTCCCTGAGTAAAACTTCCTTTTCGTCCTGTATTCCCTTGAAAATTCCAGGTATAACATATCTAAGCCTTGCTCTCCTGAGGGTACTATGCATCCATGTCAGCAGAAGCAAAGCCAGAAGTTATATTTGTCTAACATCTTTGTCTGTTCAGAAAATTCTGACTGTCCAGAAAATAAGCAGTAGTTTTGTACCTACAAATTAGTTATCAAGACACTCTGTGATAGTTTCAGTGCTAAATGTTTATCACATAGTTGATGAGAAAAACTGTCTTGGCAGAGTTTTTGACACCTTTCAAGTCCATTTTTATTTTCTTAGTTGATGATAGATAAATATGGATAGTAAATCTTGTCCTATCTTGTTACCTCGTTTAATGATTTCTGTAGTTCGGTAATTCAGAGATATCTGTACTGTCCCATTCCAAATGAACTAGCCGATAGAATACAGTTCTGCTTCATTACAGCTAGTTTTGCATTCGTTACTGAGTGCCTGATTCACCAGCATACTGATTTCCAAATACTGATATTGCCTTAATTTCACTTGTTTGCATATTGAGGTATTGTAGTGGAATATGCAGTTCACACTCCCATAGAAGATATTAAGCATGACAATAAGCAAATGAAACAGTTTTCAGGTTTGGAATTTTATTATACACAAAGCTGTTCTCCTTCCCTGCTGTTTCTACTGTTACAGTTAAGGTCATCCACTGCTTATGATTAAAACATTTTCCTGAATTGTTTGTAACTTTGAATAAAGTTGTAACTTGGCATTTCCAGTGCAGGGTGTCTGCCTAAAACAAGGGGTTTTTTTCCAAGCATGAGCTTTTTTGAAGAGCAGAAAGGAAGGGAAATAGATAGCTTTTACCCTTGCCTTTGGCTTTATAAAATAATTATTTCAAACATTTCATTAAGATCTAGTGCATCTCTGGAATAGGAGGTTGAAACTTGGCAGAGGCATTGTCCTGGTGGGGAGGGGCTGTATTGCAGGCTGACATGACTTAAGCGTAGGTAATGCAGTTTGGGCCTTTCAGAACCTGCTCTTACAGTGGAAAATGCTCAAATCACAGGTGTGATTTTTCCCTGAAGGAAAGCTCTCTGGTTGTTGAAAGTCTCTCCCCATCTTCCCATGTCTTCTGTAAAATTAGTCCTTCAGATCTGCTGCAGGGAATAGAAAAAAAAACTGGAAGGAGAGACTGGGTAGAAAAAGAGGACTGGAGGGTGGATTTACAAACCCTCAGGGAGAGCAAGAAACTAGGCAGATGGTTTTTGGGGTGCAATATGTGGGAGGGTATCACTTAAGTAATATATGTAATACCATGCTGGAAAATTACATATTCTATTACCTTTAGTGACTTATTTTTATAGATAATAGATTATTTCTGATGCTATTTATTAAGTACTGGGGGTGTTCGGTGTGGAGAGGTCTGAACTTCCAAATTCGCTCCAGTCCTTTATGATGGAATTTTTTGAATTTATTTTTGTTTGTTTGTTTTGAATAGCAAAAGAAGATACAAAATGAACAAGTTTTTCTGTGAGTGGCAGAAATAGTCAAGACTGATTTCTAATGAATGCATCTCCTGTGTTCCGATAAACCTTCCGTAGCGCACACACAAATGTACGCTCACTCAAACACGGTATTCAAAGGGTTTGAATTTTTTCCATGGTTATGAAGCCTCTGTTTTACCTGCAGTGCTTTGCAGCACTCTTCTGCCTACTTAGCTGGACAGTTGCAGGTCTATGTTTTGGCAGCTTCTGAGTACATACATGCTGGTTGTCCAGCTGGCTGGTTGGCCTCCCTTTTCCTTCATTGAAGGCTTTTACGCTCTTTTTTTTCATCCCAATTCGCAGTATGCATAAAACTTATACAATCTTTGTGATATCTAGGTATCTGCTTATTTGCCAAATTTGGCTGAAGCCAAAAAACAGCCTTCAAAATCATTTCAAGGGTAGAGAGCAGAAACTGGGTGGGAGGTAGATGATATTACTGGTTTCATTCCCCTTGTAACTTGTCAAACAAAACGGTGATTAAATGTTCACAAAGCCAATATATTAAGCTTAGGAAATAGCAGAACGTTAGATGGCTCATGCAAGTATACACACACAAGGCGGTGTTTGTTTTCGTATGTGTTGTTCCAGTGAGTGAACAGAAAATATAGAAAGAACTGTTGACTACCATTCATTGAATGAGATAAAGTTTGTGGAAAATTACTATGTGAACGTAATTCACATTGATACGTGAAGCTGGTAGTGTATGCTCAGCAGATGAGACTAAGCTTATATGGTTGAGCTTAATCCTAACATTTTCTAGTATCTTAACGCTTGACTTTGTAACTTTACCAGTACATTATCCTCATTTTAGGGGTGTAGTATGCTATACATTAAGAGCAACTAGAGAAAGCAGTTGAACTGAGATTAACCGTGTAATTATTCCTAGTCAAGCTGTTCAGTTGATAGGCTGAACAAAGGGTCGCATTGAAAGAGCTAGTTGCTGAGCCTTTCTTACTCTTGTTTTCTGAAGTCAGTTTGACTGGTTGGTACGCTTGAAACATGTTGAGGTACTGAAGGGATTTTCATTCACATCAACATTCTTGTATGAAGTGGTTAAAGAAACAAGTGGTACAGATAACGCTTTGAGGGTTTTTTTATGGTATTAAGTGGGATTAAAGGCACTTTAGAGATGTTCTGCAGTATTGTGTGATGTGGTTGTTCAGATGGAGGTGGCATTGCTCATACACGTGTTGTAACCTGCTGTGTGTGAGGAATAGAAATAATGCTAAGTAGTCTACTGTAACTTGTGACATCTCTGCGAAATTAAGTATTCTGATTTTTGAAAGTTGTATTTTTGTATAATATTATGCTCTTAACTGATCCCTTACAGCAGATCTGTTTCTTGCATTTCACTGTTACATTACTCCAAGGGAGGAAAGAATTCTGTATTTATGTATTTGTATTAAATTAACCATGGAGCAAAGCATTATTTTACCTGCATGCCTTGTATATACAGACATCTAATTCTTAGGTCTGAAAAAATAAACATCTTATTTTTTTCCAGGACTTATAATATCTCTTCAGCTTCTACGTGGCGACATGGAGCAGATTCGAAGGGAAAACCCCATGATCTTTAACAGAGGCGTTTCTGTTACCAGGAAGCTGGGTTTTCCTGATGTTATAATGCCAGGTAAACACAACAGCTCTAATTTTAAAATATTGGTAATTTTTTTTCCTCATACTCTTCTAGACAAGTGTCACTGGGATTGGTGCTTTACCCAGAGAAGATTAATAATAGAAGCATTGCCTTGTTTATCACTAAATGCCAATTCCAGATTTAGGGAGGCATGTTAAAACATTTTAATCAATGAACATTATAGTAATAGAAGGTGTTAAATTCACATGTATAGAAGGTGGTCTGGAAAGATTGCTTTGATATTCCCCACCCCGAACCCCCAATTAGATATCCCTCATGTGTGCTAAGCATAGAGTTGTTTCTTTAAAAATGCATGAAGTTTCTTCTTCCAAATAATCCAGAGACTGGAAAAAGAGTTTCCACTTTGCCACCTTGATTTTCAAAGTTAGTACAATCCTTTTGCATTGGCTGACAATACATGAGGCTGCAAATCTGGTCTGATTTTCTGGCTGGCCTTACAGACCAGCTAGTCCACGCAACAGCTGTCTTGGCTGCAGCATTGCTGTACTTCATTTGCCTGTTATTTCTGGAGCAGCAGCTTGAGATGCTTCTGGTTTTGGCACAAGTTGAGGTAGCCCCAGTGTAGCCAGGAGTTCATTTAGGGAGGAAACCGGAACCTAGCCAGTCATGCAATCAATAGATATAAAACCTGGCATTATAATGTCTTGGTTTTTACAGAGTAGTAAGAAATGGGCTAATTACATTGCATGTATAGCATTTGAAATACTACCTCATTGCTATGCATTATAACCAAGACCAAGGATGACTTTGCAGACATGGGAAATTTTATGCAAGCATAATGGGAAAAGTATCAGATTTTATTATGCACAAGACTGCAGTGACACATCACTATCAAAAGTAGTTCTTGTAGCCTCGTTATGGAGGCTCTTCAGAAAGTACAATAAAAATAGGGAGTAGGTGGGAAGAATTTCTAGAAACTGAAGTAAAAGGGTTTAGAACAGTAAGTGTTTTATTTACTAACAGACTTGAAAATAACAGCAGCAGAGGATGTGGGCTATAAAGCCAATTATAAATTTTAGGTTTTAGTGACCTTATAGCAGTTCCAATCTTAACCCAAAACAATCAAATTGAGAAAAGATGAAATGTTACATGTTGATATGCAGACACAGCTGCTGCAAGGTGGTCTGCTGTAATTGAGATCACAGCTGGATGTGTCAGCTAGAACAGCTAGATCACAGCTAGAAAAGTCAACATCAAAAATAACATTTACTTACCTGTGTAAGTGCACAAATTCTCCTTAAAGAATCACTTTATTCTCCATTTTTATGTATAAAGCTGTCCCTCAACTGCTTCAGACCGCTGAATTTTAGCAAGCTTAAGGAATAGCTTTATGGCCTCAGTGTTCCCCCTGATTGTTCTTTCATTTTCTGGGCCCTAGCCTCTTTCTGCAAGCTGGCATAGTGGGCCTGTCTTCCCTCTACTGCTGCTGGTTTAGGCCGTGCTTTTGTCCAGGGATCAAGCAAGCAGGTTGCAAGCAATTGCTCCTACCCTAAACTTTAAAGATTCTCTATTTATTGCAGCTAATTCATTTTTCTCTCTCTAATTAAGAACTCTAGCAAAACCACTGCCTCAGTGCAAAAGATGTCCACCAAATCATAAGTAGTAGTATGATCTTTGTGATATTCGGCCTAGAGACCTTGGACATTTAAGTAAACTAAAACCAGATTCCACAGTGTAGGTTTGCAGCACTCCTGTTGTAAGGCTGGCTATGCGTGTGCAGTAGTGGTCTTCCCAGCTCTGGTGAGCCCATCAGTTTTTCAAATGGTATTCTTCAAAAGACCACAGTTGCTTGCTAATCTCATTTTTGTGGGAACCACAGTTCTTGCTGGAGAAAACACAGGAATTTTAAGATGATAATCTATTTGGAATTGGTCTCATTACATATATATCTGCTCAAAGTACTGATTGATACAAACAAATGTGTGAAAGGACCACCATTCTGCTATTAAATGCTTACTGCCTCTCTAGAGGTGCTGGACACCCAGAATTTCTTGATTCAAAGGCAGCTACCAGAGGTCTGCATATATAGAGCTTAGATGCAAAGCTTTAGGCATTTGTATTTGAAAAAAAAATATGGCCCACATTTGTGGAGAAAAGCAGTTTGTAAATGTCTTTAAACACCAGGTAAGAAAAGAAAGGCAGCCATGGAAGTGTGAATAGACTTTCACTGTAATGATGAATTAGGATGTTGCCAGAGTAGAGATGAGATGTCAGGAGAGAGGTAGCCATGAATGGTGCTCTAAACAAAAATTTTCATTATCCAGGGTATTCTCCAGGATAATGAAATGTTTGAAAAATTAAGAGATTAAATTATCACGTAACTTCACTGATGCAGTGAACAGTGTTCATTCTAATTACTTATCAATTTTTTTGGCAATGAAAGTATGTTTGACATTATTTAAGCAACAGCAGATACTTGCCTGTTGTTTGCTTTTAAAACAGATCAAACTGTGGTTGTGAACAAGGGATGTCCATCAATTTACTTTGTGCTTATGTTGTTACAGCCAGAATCAAACATTCTTTTTTAGCTTTACTAGTATTGTCTCAAGTTCAAAAATACTTTATTTTTGAAAAAAAACAAACCATACAAACAGAAAACCAACCCTGTTACGCACATAAGCAGTTCCCAACCATGTCTGCTGCATTAATTGTCTTTGTCAAACTACCTTTGCCTTGCTTTGCTTCAGAACTGTTTCTTTCTCATTAAAGACAGGGTTTCTTCTTGCAGAACAGAACACAGAAAGTTCATGACTTGTATTTTGTAAGTGGATGGAGATTTTTTTCAAGGCAGTGTGATTTTAAAAATTTTTTATGAATGAATTAATAAAGGCTAGGTCACCTAGTATTGTTAAAATATGAATTTCAAATGAGTCTTCTTCGTCGTATGTTTTAACATTTTCACTTTCTTTTTTAATAGGAAATCCTTTCGCATGTAGACATCTTAACCATTAAAATTCTGCAGCTGTGTCTTATCACAGTTTTCTTACCCATTTTGTTTTCTAAACAGTAGCCTTAGTTCCTATGTCAAGCTCTTTTCCCTCACTCAGATATGAGAAACTTGAGTGGTAGCTGGTCATCATTAAGAAATAAAGTGTCTTTATGTGCTTATATCTTGCATGGTTATGCAGAGCAAGATTAATATCCTACAAAATAACCATGCCTGTCTTCATTTTGAAGGATAAATTGTTCTTTGTTTCCTACTATGTTGTGATCTGAGAAGAGCATCATAAAGACTTTATCTTTTTTGTCCAAATCAGAAGAGACTCAGTCAAACCAGCCTCATGAAGAGGTGTGGTGGGTTTTTCTTCATTTGTGGGGGTTTTTTCTTTTCTAAATTGCTACTGGGTTTAAGACCGTCCATCTGATCCTGACAATTTTACCTTTCCCCAGAGATAAAAGCAATGAGGCATGTGCTGCTTGCCTTTTGGATTGCAACTTTATTTGTGTACAGAACTTGCTGATCAGAAATCTATTGCATAGGCATGGCGTTTGTCAGTTCCCCAAAGGACATCCCTTCCCTTCCCCATGTGCTGATAAGTATTCTGTCTTTTACTTTGATCCTCTGATGAAAAGTGCATGCTTCATCTTCTACTTGTGAGTGATGTTTCTTTCTCTTTTTTCTCTCTCCTTGTCTTAATTTCCTGGCTTCTCTCCCTTTCCTTTCCCTTTATTCTCTCCCCTTTCTTTCTGATGCAGAGATGAAGATAGTTGGGTGTAAGTTTCTGCTTTTCTGTGTAATGTCTGCTTATTGCTTGCTTTTTCCCATTTTCATATCTTTCATGGAATGTTGGGGATTGGTAAAGATAGCAAATCATGACATCATAGGAAAACTTTGGTAACAGAGACTTTTTTTACTGGTCTCTCTTTGTACCACAATGTTTCAGTCAAGTTTAGTAGCTATGACAGATGCATCAGTAGCAAAGGTGAGGAACATCTCAGCATCTGTTCTGTCAGTGAGCACAAAGTCATGGCAAAAATACATTAAGAAACGGACATGGCAAAATCCATCAGCTATTTTCAGAATGTTCATGGCAAAAGAGTCCATGAGACCAAAAGACATAATTATGTAATCATTATCCCCAAAAAGCATTTACAAGGAGAATAAAAAATATTTTTGTCATTAATAAACTGGCAGAAATGGAAAGTTAAAATGCTAAGCTGGAGGAGATATGAAAAAAAATATTAAAAATCAACTCCCTGCTACTGTTTCAGGGAAATCATTGAATTTTAAAAGAGCTATAAATTGTTTTTTAGACATAGAAGTTGAACAATAGATAGCAAATAATCTAGTAAATATTTTTTTTTCCTTTTCCTTGAAACAATTGAGTGTTCTGTTCACTGAAAGCTAGAGGAACACACACAGTTAAACTTGCATAATGTTCTCTTTATAGGGAAAAAAAAAAAAGTTAATTTAATTTCCCATACAGGCAGTAGATAAAAGCTCTGTTTGCCCTTGCTGCTGTAATATTACTCACAATAGTTGCATACTATAACTATTTCAGAAACACAGGCCTTAAAAAAATTAGTGACTGACTGGTGAAGGGGCAGAGAAATAAACTGCTGAAATGGATCTGATGTGATTCCCAGAGACTGTCTGAACATACCAGGCTTCTTAATTTTAACAGGCGATTAGTAATACAGTGGGCAATACAGCAGATTTTACACCGGGGTCAAAGGTGACTTCACTGTTAAAGCAAGGGAAAATCATGCAGTCTGAGGCCTGTCACTCTTAATCTTTTGAGACATGACTGAGAAAAAGTCCTTAGCGGTCAGCCAGAAAGCAGGCCAGAGAGCGTTTGGGACACTTCCCATACAGTGCACTTGGTCAGTTTTTTCCTTTAGTCCATTTTGAAAAAAGATTGTGATGATCCCAAAGCTGATTGTGGGCCTCATTCCAAGGTTAACCTCTTCTGTGTTGAAATTATTGCACTTCAGAAGTAGCGTGTTTTTCGTTTGGGAAAAGTTAGAACTTCAGTTAAGGGTGTAGAGATCAGAATCCTTTACTGGCGCCCTACTCTTGTGCAGCGGCCTCCAAAGCTACTGCAGAGAAAAGTGGTCTGTCAGGGGAATGTCTGGTTTAATGCAGTACTCTTGGCCAGACAGAAGAGCAGCTACCATTGTAAAGAGCTAGAACAAATAGAGCCAAAGCACGTTATAACACTGTCCACAAATGCAAGTATTCTACATTTTATAGTTTGTCTCAGAGGTTTTAGTTACTCACTGGACTGAGCCTCTTACAGAGTCAAACGCTTAGTGCTTTAAATTGCTGTAACTTCACTGAAGTCAGTGGGATGATGCTGATTTACTCTAGTTGTGGGGATGGTCATTTATAAATAGGACATAAATGTGTGGTTTGGTTTAGTTTTTTCTTCATAAGCCATTGTGGAAGATATGCTGAGTGTCCTTCTTGCCCATTCACACTCTAGGGTTTATTGGCATTTTTATAAAATCCCAGTATTTTCAAAAAGATGCCAAGCCTGGTGACGTTAGAAAGTCAGGTGGACAGGATATCACAGTGTTGGGCCCTAAGTAAGTAGGACCATCTCAACAATTAAATACAGACATAACTACTAATTTTTATAGATAGATTGTTTTTTATATGCTTGGCTGCTTAAATTGTAAAAGACTAAACTTTCAGTTTAAAAAACCCAGTGAAGATTCTCTGGATAAATACAGTTACTTTACTAAGTTACTTGAAACTAGACCTGCACATCCTGAATGTTGTGAGCTGGCATTTTTCCCCAGCTTACAGAGATATTTACATGTCCTTTATGGGTTCACAAAGTCATAGAGCATTGACCTCTTGGAAAACAAATTTGCTAAAATCAAGATGTTGGAGATTGGTTTGCCTCTTTCTCTGGTAGGAATTTGTGTGGATTATGTAACCTTTTTCGGACACAGTATTCACCAGTATAAAGCAGGCACCATTCCTGTCCTCAGTGTACAAAATCTTTTAAGAGCCCTTAATAAAAGTGTTACATTAAATGGGGATGGCTTCTGTAAATTGTTATTACGTTCCAGTTCAAGTAACTGGTTAGTCTTCTAGTGGAAAACCTACAAATCCTACCGGGATAAATCTACTTACTCTAATAGATACTAGACAATTATTGGCCATTGGACTACTTAATGTTACTTAGTCTTGAAAATGATAAATAAGTATTTGGAAGTCTTCCAGTACATTTCTTTATATTGTAAACACAAAACCGATATACGGCTCATGTAGCCTTTTCCACCACTCCTTTTTTCCCCCGTTACGCTTCAGGTGATACAAGAAGGGATTGTATTTCTATATAAGCGAACCCCCCAAAGCTATAATTTATGATTCTTAATTCAAACAACTGTACATTTGACATAAGGCTTTCTACATAGGTTAAAACAAACAAAACAAAACCCACATGAAGGTGAAGGGAGGGTAAAGGAAGAGCTGCATAACATATCAGAAAATCATTCTTTTTTTAGTATTGTAAAAAATGCTATATTTCAAGACATTTTACAAAGAATTGGTAACTGCATATGTTAAACTGCACATATTTTGTGCTAAAAAGCACTTTACATTTGGTTTCAAATTGAAAACAATTGTAGAGAGATGGGCTTTAAAACAAATAGCATTCTGAAAACTCTCATTTGGTTTTCAGTTCCTCTTTGACAGCCATCTAACACAAAAGAGACCTCAGCTTAAAGTGTCATCCGCAGGTTTCAGCCTCTAAATACTTTGGCCCACTAGCCTTCTAGCACTTTTTTATTCCTGTACTAATGATAGGAGGCCACAGCTAACCCAGTTTTATGATCTGCACTGCTCTATTTGTGAAGATGTGAGGCCTAAGTTGGTGTAGCGCTCTGCTTTTCTCTCAAAACGTAAGAGTACTGTCACTTCAGAGCCAGTACTGTTTATACTGTAGTTTGCCACACAGAGGTCGTGAATTGTCTGGCTTATTAGACGAGTACTTATTTATCTTTTTACAATGGAATTAAATACGGAAAAAGCTCTATCTGCCAAGGTTTTTGACTTGATATGTAGCTGTAATTCTGTGTTACAGCTGACAAGGATCACTTCTTGATCGTACTGATTGCGCTTTTTGTTTAATCATGTGCAAGCTGCACTGCGCTGTCTGTTTGTGCACTTGTGTGCTGTTGTGCAGAATGTTTTCTCTAGCCTTGCCATTTGCATACTTGGAATTTTTAATAAATTGCTCGGTGCTCAAGCCTTTGCTCCAATGCCCATTAGTGCATCTGAGCTCAAACCCCTCAAAAACAGTAGCAGTTGGAGAAAAAAAAATGGCTTGCGAGGACTCACCAAGAGATGTGTTTAAAATGTTGGGAAAAGGAGGTACTTCTTTGTAGTAAGGTTATTTTCACTGAAATAAATGAGGTGTTTGAGTTTGTAGTTTAAACTCCCAGATTTTCAAGAAACTGATGGGCTCCGTACCTGGTAGTTAAATGCTTTTTGTCTTTTCTAGATACATTTACTTTCCTATTTTTACTGTATGAAATGACCTTTTCTATTTTTTTAAGATTAAATAGACAATATTTTTACAAGAGACAATGAACCATTACGCTTCACTAAAATAGTTTTTCCCTTCCTTTTTCTTCATTTGATGCAAACCCACTGTTTTTTTAGATTCCTCTACCCCCCACACCAACGGCATTTTTTTAATTAGTGAAGTAATATCCCTCCTGTTAAGTTTAATGGAAGATAAGATGCTATATATAACCAAGTGCTGCCTTTAATTTAGGCTGGAAAATTATTTGCTGTCTGACATTGGACTTTGTGTAGCCAGACTGTCTTCCAGAAAAGAGGTCATAAATAGGAAGCTCCAAAATGCTAATTATAGTGAGTACAATTAATTTTTATTAAGACTTACAGCATACAAATTGAAACTTTTTTCCTCGTTGTACAAACTGCTAAGAAAAAAGGATGGAGTCTGTTAAGCAGGAGGATTTTCAAACAAAAGTCCCTACTTAAAAAATTCATTGCAAAAGATCGTTTATTTCTTTGATATTCCTATAGTCAACATATAGGTAGCTTAGCTTGATTTTTGCACAGCGAGATAATTTTCTCTGTTGTTGTGGAGTGTTGCATTTGATGACTATTCTTTGATGAGAAAAAACAGGTCAAATATTTGAGGTCTTTCACCAGCCTCTTGCTGTCATCTTTTTCCCGTTAATGAACCACAGCATTTTCAGACCTCTGACTGTGAGGTGTTTAAAGCACGTCAACTCTGTGTGAATCTGTAGTGAGAGAAGTTGATGGAAAAAGGAGGACATTTTGCATACAGATCTCCATTCATAAAGAGTTCCCAGCAGAAAGCACTGAATGTCAGCTAGAGCGCTGTATTTTCCATGCTTAAAAAGTTGTGCTTATGTCCAGAAATAAAAATGAAAGTAAAGACAGGACTGAAAGCTTCTATTGTTTGTCCCTACAGTAGATTAAGGAACAAATTCTGTGGAGTTATAGACTTCAAGAAGAATTTGAAGTGCTGCTTGGACAGGCACAAGAGAATATCCCTCACTGCCTGAAAGCAAATGCTGCCTATTTCATTGTGCTTCTGATAAATAAACAGATTTAACTGTGTCATCTTCTCCAAGTACTGGGGCGGAAGAAATCAGACATTCAAGGAGTCTCTGCTTTGCTGGAATAACCATTCCATTACTTCATTATTCAGTCTCTTGAGGCTGCTTAACAAAATACTTGCCTTGAAGGGGTTTAAATTTTTATTGTTTTAATTTTTTGTATTTTTATATATTGCATTTCAATATGTGTGCCTTTGTGGCAAGTAAATAAAAAGAATTGGTAAGTGAGACATCATGAAATGGTGACAGTAACTAAATCTTACAGAAAAATAGGTGCTACCTGCTGTCCTTTTGGTGGATGCTTTAGAGTTGCCTGCTGTAGTTTTGAAAGCAGGGTTTCGCAAATCAGATTCTTTAAAAAAAAAAAAAAAAAAAAAAAAAAAAAAGGTGAATTAAGAGTCTGTCAAATTCAGGATGACAAGATGATGAGATAGATCCTAGCATTTGTATTTCTGAATATAGTCATTTGCTCTGAAAGCTCTTGAAAATGAGGTAGTAAGAAATTGGCAAGTAACCATACTACCCACTTTCTTATATTCATGCATATGGATACCAGAGGCTAACCAAAAATCTAGCAAAAAAAAAAATATTTCTAATTCCTTCTTAATCCATCTGAACTGAATTGCAACCAGGTTTCCAAAAAGGCTGCTTTTATTTTGTTGTTATGGTAAAAAGAAATTATGAAAATGTAGAAAATACTTGGAAGAGCTAAATGAACACAATTTTCTGCTGATCATCACAAAAATACTTATCTATCTTAAAATAGATTGGCAATGGGAAGTCTGTTGTTAATGATATTTTGTCAGGCTTAGCCTGATCCTTCCAAATCAGCTGACTCGACAAAGTAGTAGATGATTTTATTTTTTTTTCCCTTCCCTGCTTACACACAATCAAAGCAAGTATTGATTCCAAGTTCCCACTTAATAAAGGCATTACTAACAATGGTCTGATTTTACACACTGATATTAAAATGTTCATCTTTATTAACAATTAACTTGCTGCTTGGAATGATTTGGGCATCAGCCATGGTCTTGCAGAACACAGAAAAGCATTTGCAGAATCAGAATATGTTGCACACAGGCACTGAGTCTTCCACGTTGAATTGAAGCATGTGACCCCACTCTCTTACTGTAGGTGATATACGCAATGACTTATACCTGACATTAGAAAAGGGAGACTTTGAAAGAGGTGGGAAAAGTGTGCAGAAGAACATTGAAGTGACCATGTACGTGCTCTATGCGGATGGAGAAATCTTGAAGGTAAGTACTTATTTCCTCTGAGCTTCAGGTGCCATCTGCTTGCTCCATGGGCGTGTTCTCTTCTTGTGTTGTCTCTGATGCAGGGGAAGTGCTAACTAAAACTAAATCATACTGTTTGGTGTTTTCTTGCGCTAAGTTTTTAAGCTGTATATTATGAAGGAAGTGGTCAGTTATAAATTTGAAAGAATTTGGAGCACTTCCCCTATATGGGAATAGGGGACTTGGAGAAAATATTCATAAACTGAAAAACTTATGTAATTTCAAAATTTGTTGTCAGTGGCTATAGTAAAAAGAAAATTTAGAGTAAGTGTAGTCAGAAAGAGTTGAAGAGTATATGACAAATATCTAAAATTAAATAACGTGTCGTACAACATGATGCAGTGTGATTACAAGAGAGACTTTTAAATCTGAATTGTTGGAATTATGGTACTGAATGTAGTTTTGGAAAATAAATTTGAGTAGCTGTATTTCTAAGATCGTGGCTTTCACCCTGGGATGGCTCCATTTCAGCTGTGGATGGTGATGTTTAATGTTTTTCTTTCTTCCTCTGTTCTTGCTTTCAGTACTATTGAAGAGAAGAAGGGATATAAGTCAGCTTTCTGTGGGGTGGGAGGGTGTGAGGACAGAGAAGTAAACAAAGTATTTCAGCAGCAACATCTGTCAGAAATGGAGAAATGGCTGCATTAAAATATACTTACCCCTACCTTTTTTAACACCTCCACTGGATTAAAATGGCCTTTGTAGCCATTATCATAGAAGAGATGAAACACCAACGTGCTCGTGTACCAAACGCATTGCCACAGTCTGTTTTTTTAATTGAAAGGAGAACTTTTCCTTTATTACTACAATTGCTTGTGATTTCATTAAAAGTATCTCTCTTGTAAGGAACTGGTTTGTTCTCATAGCTGTTGCAGGAAGATCACAGTCCTTTTCTGTTTAATTGCATTAGGCATACCTTTCAAATTGAGTGGCATATTTTAATCATTGCTTTATTTCACAGCAGTCTGCCAAAGGCCAGCATAGGTCGGTACCCTCCAAACTGCCATATCAGCATCTTCAAATGCTGATGTACATAATGGTAGCTAATTATACTGCAACTGTGGCTAATGATTAAGTATAAAAGCCATATGATTTCTAGACATTATCAGTCTTAACTACTTCTGTGGTTTTGGTTGGAATGGTCATTCACAGATACTAAGTTACCTTTTTCTTACCCTCGCCTGTTGTTAATACTCTTAACAGTGTACCAGGGCTGTACATGGGACAGTGGAACAGACATGGTACAAACAAAGACTAGTAAAAGGTAGTCAGTCTGATTAGAAAAAATGCAGGTGAACATTTGTCATAAGGGGAGACTTTACATATAAAGGATTCTTTGTGTTTTTTAAATTTAAACCACATATTTAAAAGAAAATCTTGATACCGGTTTTTATGTTCTTGCTCCTCTGTATAGTTGCAGTCAAAGTAACAAAGATACTTGGTTTGCGTCAGGGGTATCTTTGGTTCATGACGTCTCATGATGCCTAAGATCCACTGTATTTCAAACAATACAAGCAGTAGAACTTTTCTATGTAGGAAATACTCAAAGGTATAAGCTAACATATCTACTGAAAAATAAGTAAAAGGGCCATCAAGGACAACAGAAGTTGAACTCCCCTTTAATTTGAACACCTTCTCACTGCTTAGGTACACTTGCGTTCTCTCTTAACTTCAGAATAGAACTAGAAAAATAACATATAAAGCTCAATACCAGATGAACTGAATATAGAGGCATAGTTCAAAAGTGGTCAATGACAAATTGAAGGAATAATCACATGCACATGAGAGAAAAGAAGCAGCTTTGAATAGGGTTTGCAAACTAACCACGTCTCCTCTTTTTTTGTCACTGCCATAGTTTCTACATGATTTTAAAATTCTGCAAATTCATCTAGTAAAGTTAGAGCACATGAGACCTCCATCTGGAATTACTTATAACGTAGTGGATTATCTTACCATTCAATGGTAACGTCCTTGTCCTTGTAGAAGGCAACTGGCCCTATTAAGTGTATATGGCTGCTCTACGTCTATAGAAATGTCATGAAAATGTTAATGATTCAGCTCCTTAAACTGTAGATTTCCAGTTTGTCTAAACTTTCAGAATGCAGATTTTGGTTGTAAAATACAGGCAAAGTTTGTGCTCAAAATCTTCCCATGCTTCAGGTGAAAAGCCCTGAGAACAAAGAGCTCCATTGACTCTAACCATCCCAGCTGCGCGATGGGTTTTGGGAAGACTGGATATCCATTTGTCTAAAACTCAACACAGGTCTGCAAGTCTGGGTTATTTTAGTATGTCAGTAAATGGATACTGTTTTACCTTTTATATTAAGAATTTAGTTTTAAACCCTGGGTGGCTTATTTTTCACTGCAACTGTCTGGTTTATGTAATCTTCGGTATGGACACCAAAAGCAGTGTGTGATGACCTGCCATTTTCTATTAGGAGAGAGCTGGTTTCACCTAAAGAGAGAATATAACTTCATTCCTAGATGAAGCAGCTGTAAAGAGACTGCTAGATCAGGACTTGCATTTCAGTCATGCAGCATAATCTAAAAGAAAACGCTGAAGCCTGCAACAAGAGGAGTCTAATTACTATTTAGTAAATGTTAAGAATAAGGTGTGTGTGGGATAGAGCTGCAGTACTGGTGAAGGGAATTGCTTTGTTTGGGTTCCCTGTCCCCTGAATGATCACTTGTGTGACCTGAGGTTGCTTTCAAAGTGTACCTATTTTCTTTCTTCTATTTCATTTGTCTAACTATGATGTTAATTTAATAACTTTCAGTAGGCAATATAGAAAAGAAGCTAATAAAAAAATCCAACTCAAGCTTACAGTAGTATGGGCAGAATGCTGAAAGCTCAATCTTTGACCCCAAAGTGCTACTGTTCTTGGTTGAAATATCCTTTACTGTTCCTGACCTACGGCCTTTCCAAAGCAGAGACTGCCAAATGAGAAAGTGTGTGCTGCGTTACACGGTACAGTGGGGAAATTGCCAAACATTTTCATCTGATATTAGAATAAAATCTCTATAGACTCATCCTAACCAGAAGCACAATCCAAATCTGAATTATGCCTTTGTGAAGACTTTAGCAGAGCCATATGCAGTGTTAATGAGAATATTCTGTCTGTCTCAAATCTTTATTGCTGTTGAGTATATCTTGGTCCAGAAATAGTCCTATTGAAAGCAGTGAAATTATTCCCAGAATACAGTGCTGTTCAAAATGAAAATGGGTATTTCCCTTTCTGAATGGTATTCCTCAATTGTTGGTATCTTTTAATATAGTCTGAAAAATAAAAAACCTTGACACATTTCTCTTCTTTCTGTTCCAGTAGCAGGAATATCTTACTAATTGCAAGGCATACCTTAAACGATAAAATTATTACCGGATACTTTTGCTAGTTTAGCTTCCCTTACTTGCCTCTGCCCTTTAATTCACCGACATATTTGGGTCTCATGGTAACTAGGTGTACAGAGACTAGTGAGACTAGTTTCATGTTTATATTTTGCAGATCACAATTCAGAATTAAAGATTAAAATCCTCAGACTATAGATTGTAGTATAAATGCATTGAAACTGAGTTAACAACCGGAAGGAAAGAGTCTTCACCTAGTCATTTATTTAAAGTTTATAGTGTGGAATAGCATTCAAAGACTGACCATTTTTCTGCCAAGGCAGGTAATTTTTCAAAGCAACAGAAAAAAGCTTACATTAAAATTTGAATTTTTCCTGTACCTGATAGAAGAATTGCATATACTATTTTACTTCTTCCCAAGAACCTAATGCAGAACGAGGTTTTGGAATTGCTGTGTTGAAGCCCAAGTTACTCCTGTTACAATATAGAACTGGGATATTGCAGACATTCTGCTCTTTAGTACTGCCACCACTGTTCTCACTCCAACCTGTTAATATCTGCAACAGTTAATTCTTGTTGGTGTGTTAAAAAAAATCACCTTTATGCCAGGATTGTGGCACATACCATATGATTACCAAAGACTTACTTGAGAGGACTGAGTTTTATGAGTCAACTACAGTCACTCAGTTTGGATTAGAACCTTTGCAATGAATCTCTGCCCAGGGAGGCTGTTCTTGCATTGAATCCCAAAATTCCAGAGAACTTTTCTTTCTTTTTGGGCTCCTTCAAAAATTCTTAACTTTCTCAAAGCCAGAAGAATATTACCACAGGCCATACTAACTGGGTCTGGTTAATGGGATGAACTTGATTTGATAATGACATGATTAATCCCTTGATTACAGATGAAAAAATCAAATCAACATTGTTGATGTTTTCTTGGGATAGAATTCAGAGATGCCTTGGGGAAAAGACCAGTAGTTCTTCTGTTCCATGTGGGATGGTTTTACTTTAGAATTTATATTTCAAGTGTCATTCTGGGCCTGCTTAGCTTCTGTTTTTTCTTGGATTCATTATCCTTAGAGATGCTGTAAGCGAAGAATCTCTAAGCTTGGTAAGATGTCATATCTTTTGGGTCATTTTGTAAGCACTAGGTCTAGAACACAGGTTAGTGCTTATATTAAAAAATGTGCTGCTTGCTCCATGTCTTCATTAGAAAGGACCTTTTACTGTCCTTATTTCAGGAGTTCAGTATTTCTCCTAACTTCCTTCGCTCATGTTCTTACTAAGGATTTCTGTTTCCTAAATCATATCAATTCATGGTTTTTATCTGTATTTTGAGAACACACAGATTGGTCAAGATTGCTGAGCTTTTTGTATCTAAAAGCAGAAATTTAGATCACATTATATTTTTAGGTGATGACTATTCAACAGAAATTCTTTGCTTACCACTAATGAAGTAACTAAATCAGAATTTTCTGGGATACTCAGTGAGGCTGGATGGTTGTAGTTTCAAAAGACCCAACATTTTTAAGAGCTGGAGAAGTTGAGATATTGCTTCTGAACTGAGATACTGAAGCAGAAATCTGATTAAATTATATTTTCAGAAAAGTCTAATATTACAAGTGATGGTCCCATTAGGTCCTTTTTCTACTTACGTGTTTATTGTCTCTGTTCTATGCTTGATAAAATCTTAAATAACAAATAATAACTTAAGATACTGGAATTCATCCAGTATCGTAGGTCTCCTAGCTCATCCTTTGACCCAAAACACAGTTTAAAGATCTCTTAAAAAAATTTCAGACTTCATTGTGCCTGAGTTTCTGCTTCTGACTCTTCCTTTATGTCTACAGAAAGATATGACTTACATAAGGGTTATCACCATGTAATAAAATGACTCATCTCTAGTGATGTGATGTCTTTTAATCTTAAAGTGTTTTCTTTTGTTCCAGGACTGCATCAGCCTGGGCTCAGGAGAGCCAAGCAGGAGTGCATACCACTCATTTGTCCTTTACCACAATAACAGCCCTCGATGGGGGGAAATCATCAAGTTGCCCATCCCTATAGACAGGTTCCGAGGGTCTCACCTCCGCTTTGAGTTCAGACATTGCTCCAGTGAGTGCAAAATATAACCAAGAGAAATCCAAAATAGTTGAGGTCTTTCCGTTGTCAGTTTATATTTGGATGAGGCTGGTATTGGGTGGAAAGCAGGAAAGGGGTGCCAACTTAAAATACAGAAAAGGTGCACTGCTAATTAGCCAGTTGCTACATTTATTAAACTGCTTATTAAAAACATTGTGAACAATCATTGCAGGGCAAGATATTTTGTAGATGTTCTCCCCTGTGGTTCTTTTGCTGTGTTTCCCTGTAGAATATTTTCTTCACAGCACATACATTTTATATTTCACTATGATCAGTGCACTTGTGTTTGTTTTGAGGCTTGCTGATCATTTGCATAGAATTAGACATAGTATATTACGTGTTGTTTCTTATGTAGCATGCATGCTTTTTGTTAGGCATGCAGATGAGTTAGTGAATAACCTTGTGGTATATACGGAAGGACAGAATACATACAGATATGATTCCTTATTTCTATCTCTTGCTACAGCAAAAGACAAGGGAGAAAAGAAGCTCTTTGGTTTTGCATTTACTCCATTGATGAGAGATGATGGCACTACCTTGTCAGATGACATCCATGAGCTTTATGTTTATAAGGTAACGATTCTTCTCTGCAGACTTTTTACCTACTCATCTCTACTTTGGTTTAAATAAGTGATGGTCATTACATTATCTTTTTTTTCCCCACCCTCATTAGAAGTATGTGAGGAACAGATTCATAGTTTCAGCATTTTATAAATTCAAAATCACATGACTAGGTATGGATACAGCCTTCTATTCTAAGTACAGCTGACCTTTTCCCTTCAGATAACGATGATTTATCTCCTATTAATACTTTACATTTTGAATTCAAACATACAAGTGCTTGTGAGCATTCAGCAGTTTTACCATCATATGGCATTACTCTGTCCCTTTGTATTATGGAGTTACGCTGTACTTCAAATGCATCATGTTACAATGCTACAGCTTGGCACCCTGTAGCAGGGGGTTTGGGAGGGGTTGGGGGTTTTTTGTTGGGTTTTTTTTGGGGGGGTGGAGGGTGGGGGTTGGCCTTCCTGGTGATTTACCTTGGTTTATTTCTTCAGTGTGATTTTTCAGACAGCAGCTCTAAGTTGTACAGTTGGAAGATCGTGGTAAGTTCTAAAGAGTCAGTGGTTAGGAGACAACACTTTCTAGAGCTGGGCCTGTTTGGTGTATGTACAGGCCCCAAAGGTGATAAGCACAGCTTTTTCTTAGAAGAGTCTCTGTGCGCCCAAAAGATCAATAAAAATACCGTTAGGCAGTTCCTATCAGGGTGGTGTGAGTATGCGGAATGAGATAGACTGGGTACAATTCCATTTCTTGTCCTGTACCCACAGTGTGATGAGAACAGCACGTTTAACAACCACGCACTGTACCTGGGGCTGCCTTGCTGCAAAGAGGACTACAATGGTTGCCCCAACATCCCTTCCAGCCTCATTTTCCAGCGCAGCACCAAAGAGACCTTTTCAGTCTCCACACAGCTTTCTTCTACCAAACTGACCCAGAACGGTAAGTAGCTGATCCTTTGGAATTGCCCAAGGCATCGGGGATTATGAGAAAGAGAGATGAGTGGTAGGTTTGTGCTCTGTTTATTTTACTAAAATACTCCTTTGTTAAATTTCTTTGTTCATATGCTTTTTTTTCCCTAACACTATTGAAATGAGCAGAAACTGGTTTTTGGAGGAAATAAAGATACTGGCAGATGGCAGAGAAATTACAGACATTACTGTAAGTGCAAGAGAAGGGTAATATGTTAAAGCAAAGTTAATTTTCATTAAATGATTGAAGAACAAAAAATTCAATGTTAGCTCTTCTACACAATCCAAAGTTTGTTTTGTTCAGCTTTTACAGGGTTACTAAGTAAATAAAAAATTGTTATGGCAACATCCCTGAAGTGTGGGAAGACAGAAGTGGGTTGTCCACAGTGCCGTGTCAAGTCACATAGGGAAAAATGCAGCCTTTGCTTTTTTTAAAGTACTTTACCATTACGCCATTCATTTCTTTGCTAACAGTAGTGGACTAACTCCATATTTTCCTTCTCGTTTTCCCTTATTTATTCTTTTTTTTTCTGAGGAGCGTGAATTGCAACAAGAGCAGAAGTGTAACATGTAGTGAGTCTCTGGTGGGTCTGGGGTTGCCATTCTTCCCTCTGCGTATGGATTCTAGCTCTTTCTCTCACTGTTCTGCAGTGGATTTGCTTGCCCTACTGAAATGGAAAGCTTACCCAGATCGTGTGATGGATATCCTAGGAAGACTGAGACATGTCAGTGGCGAGGAGATTGTTAAGGTACAACATGAAATAACAGGCTTTGGATGTATCTGTACTAGCAAGTGAATTCAGACCTGCAGTGCACTTCTGAATGTTCCCTCTTACATAGTACTTTTTGATTCATGCTATGAATTCTCCAAGTGTGTGTGAATTGGGATTTTATTTTGATGTGAAACTGAACAGGAAGATACACTCCAAAAATTAACGGCTAGTTAGTCCTTGGAATCAAAATAGAGCTAATCCATAGTAAAATTCCCTCACCTACGTGTGCTGCGAGTATCAGGTCCTCAGCACCAATTGTTCCACTCTGCAGGCCCGCTCCTGTTGAGCCACACTGCTTGCTGGTGTAGACGTGGTCACTGGTAGTGGTGTTTTGTGCAAACTTTCTGTTCCAGTAGTATTTTCTGAAGGGCATCCTCTGAAATTGTTTTAAATGTGGTTGGTCATTTCTAGAGTGAAGAAAACAGAGCTGACTCAGAAAACTTGGCCTTTTCAAACAGCTAGTAGAGTTGACAGATATTTCTGTTTTGCAAATAAGTTCCAAACGTCTGTGTAGAGGGGGAGGAAATGTGAAACCTTGGAAGTTATTTTGCTCAATGGCCAATGAACCATCCCGCAAACCCATTTTCCTGTCCCAGCACTGTGAAGTGGAGCTGTTGCCTAGAGCACCAGTTACTCTCTAGGATGTCTGACCTATCAGTAATCTATCTCCTATCTGATAATTTCATCATGGTTTGTAACCACTGTTGCTCTACGTGCCAGTCCTTTATGTGACCTGAGCTTTCTTAGCTCAAAGGAACTTCAAAATGCATTTGAGTACTTGTGTTCTCAGCAAAAAGAAAGTACGTTCCAGATATTCCTCTGATAATTTTAGGTGTGCTGAGAACTCTCCCTAGAATTTATTTCTATAAATCTGGAAGTAAGAGGAGATAATTTGTAATGGTAAACAACCAAAGAGAAGAAACCAAAGAGAAATCCCATCGGTTAATTAGTACTTTATAATTAAAGCCACGACACTTGAATGTCCATCTTCATGATGACTTTGTAACAGTAACAGAAGAGGACAATACCCCATTTATACTAGAATTTTTCAAGAATGTCATGTTTTGTACACTTTGTTTGCAGGGCAGTACAAGTATCTGTTTTTTCTAGGGAAAAGCATAAAAAGATACGGATTAAATCATTCCAAGGGGAGAAGCAATTGATTCCCTCCCTAAATTGTCTGCCATTTGGCATTGGGATATGAAGAACAAAATGCAATAATTTAGAAAAAAAGAAATTTTATCCTTTCAAAGACTTCATAAACTGTTGTATTTTATTTGTTGTTTTCCACATCAGAAATTTAATTAGAATAGATAAAAAAATCATGAGAGAATGTGCAGTTGACTTGATCTTAGCATTCTTTTTCACAGTTATCCTTTCTGAGGACTGTGCTTTCAGGAAGGAAAATGACTGAATTGTCATCATTCAGTAAGCCACAGTGTTAGGAATGGAAGAAATAATTGGCAATATGTAACTTCACCCAATTAATGCTTGTTATAAAAGCTTTACCTTCTGTCACATAACAAAAGTTTTCAATATTAAACATAATTGGGAGCACCAGTTAATGTGCTTCCAAGCCTTAAATTTAATGACAAACAGTATCTGATACACTCTAATGATGTGAGAATGAAAGTAAGTTGGTTTGCCACTGTTGTCAGGCAGCACTTTTAGTCAGCTTTACAGGGAAAGGAACACTCAGTTACATTTACAAATCAGGGGTGCAGTACATATTTCTTATTTTTTGTTTTTCTGTTGTTTTTGTTTAGAAATATTCCTTGTAAAGAGAAAAATTCTTCTTAGTGAAAACGAACTAAAATCTGTCACATCATATGCAGGAATCTAAAGGGGTTTGTTGTTGGCAAGGGTTGTACAAAGATACCAACATGTGGGAAATAATTAAAGGGATGGGGGACCTTCTTTTGTATACAATTGAATTTGAAATTCTTTATTTATTCATGTTATTTTAGTTCCTACAAGATATTCTCGACACGTTGTTTGTAGTTTTGGATGACAACACAGAAAAGTATGGTCTGTTGGTCTTTCAGTCTTTGGTAAGCTGCTGAATTGTTACTTTTCTTTATCTCATCGTCAGTGAGTTGTAAGTTTCTTATTAACATGTTGCTAGTATTTTACTTCCATGAAATGGGAAGTACTCAGCGGGTGTCAGCCTTACGTAATAATCTTGGGTGAGGAGGGCAGGATAGCCTCAACAGGACAGCTCTATTTGCTGTTACTTGGGAGAAGCAAGCAGTAACATCTGTAACACAACTACTGCCTGTGTAAAGAAACTCATGTATTTCATTGTTCCTTAGCTTGTGTAACTTGTTTGTAGAAACCTAGCAACAACATGCAGTTGCCTTCAGTATGGGTTCACTTTTTATCTCCCACAGGTATTCATCATCAATCTGCTGCGTGACAGCAAGTATTTTCATTTCCGACCTGTGATGGACACTTACATTCAGAAGCACTTTGCGGGAGCACTGGCTTACAAGTAGGTCTTGTTTATCCATTACTTCACGAGATGGTATTAGCAAGCTTTTGAATGATATCACCATGAGAATCATAACCTTCACATTAGCAGTGGTTTTCAAAAGTAGAACTGCTCAGATGAAAGTTTTCCAGCGCAGCTATGGAGAAAAGCTGCTGAATGTCACCTGTGGCTAAGAGTGAGCTGACTTTGGAATTTATTTTGCCTTTCTGAACTGGCAAATGTATCTTTCTTTCTTTCTTTTTAACTGAAGACACTGTCACTCAGCAGCCACTCGTTATCAGTCTGTACTGATGAGCTACCAAGAGCATATATGTTTCTTGTCTTAAGGATGTTGGGATAGAAGACTTGTGTGAAAGCTTAAAGAACAAATTGTAATTTCCTCTCCCAAAGTAGACAGGTATTCACATAAGATGTGGTATTTGATTACAGTAAATCTGTAATGTCAGTAGATCAGAAACTTAATTTCACCATCACTTTGAAGATTCTGCCTTACTTGCCAGTATCATTTTTGAGTTTTACATCAGAGAATAAGACAGATTTTTGAAAGCAGCAACAATTGCTATTTGGGGTGTTGGTTTTCCTTTCTTTTAGACCATTCTTTTGCATATTTGAGCATATTCTATCTTTGGCCACAATAAACTATTAAAAACAGCTTTTAATCAGTTTTGATTGTTTTAAGCTATTCACATTTTAGTGTAATTAAAAAATACATGTTAAAAATATTCTGTCAATGGCAGGTAAAAAATAGCAGGTACTATACAACACTAGAAGGCATAGTCATGTTCAGAGGGTAAAAAGGTGTTCTGCTTTCTGAAAATTACCACCTCTTTCAGACAGAACATGACTTTTGGTAGTCTGATGTCTGAAATAAAACGTGTTTTTAATAGAGCTCTTTAAGTTAGTCCAAATGATATTGTGTACTTAGGAAAATAGATGCCTGTATTTTCTTTGTGATCTTAGTTTCTAGAAACTTCTTACTTAGAGGAGATCTGGAATTTCTTATTAAAAAAAATAGTATGTTTTGGTCTTAGAACTATATTGCATGCATCTATCAAAGCTATCTCTTTAATAACATCTTTTTGATTTCCTCTTAGCGTTCCTCATGGTCTAAGTCAATTACAGAGCAGAAACTATTTTCTGGTTTTGAAACTTAAATAAATATATATATACATTATGTATATTCAGTAGCTAGGACAGCTGTAGGTGATCACTGAAATTGATTGAAATGTGACTATTTTATAGATTTCTCTCTAAAACCAAAATGTTTGTTGCCTGACTAATTTTAAAATACTGCTGAAGGTTCCTCTGCTTTTCACTGTTTGTTATATTCAGAGAACTGATCCGATGTTTGAAGTGGTACATGGACCGTTCAGCTGAGCTTGTACGCCAAGACCACATCCAGGAAGCAATGAGAGTATGTATTCAATAAAAGTATTTCTGTGTCTGTTCCATCTGTGACTACAAACAGGCTGGGGAAGCTGTAAATAAAACCAAGGGTAGTCTGGCACTGACTTCTTACTTGTTTGACCAGTTTTGGTTTTTTTTAATATTTTGCCAAAATTCTAATTTTAGGGGGAAATTTACTCTTATGCAGAAAAAAAATGGAAGGATTAGTCTCCTTAAGTCCTTTTGAAACCTTGTGGAGAACTTAAGTGGGACTTACATGGAGTATATATGTACTGGCCATTTATATATGCGGTGTACACCTTGCACTTCAAGAAGCAGTTATTGTAAATGTATTGGGCACAGGTGGTGTGTATCAGACAAATGCTTTTTATTTCTGGCTGTGACACAGCATCATTGTATTGCTGGTTGAAGTTCTGGAGTATTTTACAAAGGAGATAAATGAGCCTTCAGCTGGATGGAAATTCTGACCCCTGTCGTGGCCCGAGACCTGAATCATGGTTCCATGATGGGAGTACGATCTTGCACAGTTTTGTGTGAAACAAGGGGAGTATTTTTGGTGCTATTACAGAGAGATCAGAGAATAAATGAAGTATTAGTTTTACCATGTGTAACTGTGAAATCGAGAGAGTGTGCCAAGTGCATAAATACAAGATTCTGAAGTTTGCAGGAAGATGCCTTTCTTGGAGTGAATGTCCATCTGTACCTCCTTACTCTGAGTAGCCTTATGTACAAACATTTGAGTCTGGGCACTTTTCGAACTAGTAATGGTGGCAGAGATGAGGACTTTCTTTTTCTTGCTCTTTCATGTCAGTACAAACAGGTGAAGCATCTTGCAGGTGAAGCACACACACATACGTATACTACTCCTTTAATTTCTGGCAACCATCTGGGAAAGTCAGAGGTTGCTCCCTGCAAATGCATTTATGCTTGTATCTTGGCATATGTTTTGGACTTTATTATGGCTTTTTCTTTCTTCTAGTCATATTTTTGGTCTTTGTTTTGCCTCCTTTAGTTCAACTTAGTCAATATTTTTGAGGATGTAATTTTTATTTTTTGAGAATCCTTGTTCCCTTTGAGTGGTATGGCATCACCGCCATCAATTAGCTTTCAGGATCCCCTGTTAAGATCATATCCTGATACTTAGAAGGGCATTACACAAGTGTTTACTTTGTCTTTTGTAGATATTTGCGTACTTAGAAACAACTTCTTTGTAATACTTTTCAACCACAGATTCATAGGGAATAGTAAAAATGGGGCAAAGATGTCTTTTCAAGAGATTATCAGCTTTCTCATTCTTTTCGTTTCCATCCTTATCCTTGCTTTTTTTCTGAATTACAAAGAAACCTATTAAAATTATGAGATGAGAGGAAGCTCTCTAGCTGGAATGACTTCTAGAAGGTTTTATTCCCTCTCAAACCACTCATTAGTGCTATATACAATGCAGCAAATAGAGATGTATGATATTGTCCCTGTGTGATCTGCTTTTTTGAACCTCAGTAGTCCTCTTCAGAAATATTAAAAATATGAATGCTGGAACATCTTTCAGAAGCTCAGTTATTCAACATACAGGTTGTGAACAAGGTACATTCTTTCAAGGATTTCAAGGCAGCTCTTTGCTTGCTGGGGATCTCAAGTGCTTGCCTAGAAAGTAGCTGTTCCCTCTGTGAACATGAGGTCAGTATGAAGACTGGATAGCCCAAGCCTTTCCAAGCACAGGAATTATAATTACCGCCAGAGTTTCCACAGACCTAACAGTGCATCCTCTGTCACTGCTGTCGCATCTTACTCAGACAGTTGCCTTTGCAGGTATATCTTGGAGGCCCAAATTAAAGTCTTTATCTTCTTCCATTACAGGGATGTGATTGGTTTCCTTTTTTGTTTCCCAATTTTCTTTCAGGCATTTGGAGCAAGTTCGTACCAAAAATATTATCGTCGCTAATGTGTCATTACTAGTACTTTATTCTACTGCTGGGAATTTCTGTGGTCTTGGATGTCTTCACTACATTCCTTGCATTAGTAGTTCTTCAGCTGAGAGAACAGGATCGCTCTCTACCCCTTTTTCCCCTGAATTAGCTGTTAAATGGTACCCTAAAGCAGGTGTTGAAATAATTTTGCAGTCTTTTGGGGCTCTTGACTGCCCGTGTATATTATTTCCTGGTGAAGGTCCTTGGTGTAAGGAAGCTTCACTGGGAGATGTTTTAGCACAGAAATACAAATAACATGCTGCCAAATTACCAAAGTTGCCATCATTCCCGAAAAAAAAATGGATTGTCAGAATCAGTGGCATTTTGAAATCTGTGGTGGCTTTATGAGGAATTTCATGGAATCATAGAATCATTTAGGTTGGAAAAGACCTTTAAGATCATCAAGTCCAACCATTAACCTAACCCTGCCATCCCCCCACTGAACCATGTCCCTATTCTGTATCCTTAAAGCTGCAGCATTCTAAACCTTACAACATAACATTGCATATTCGTGCATACGGTGTAGTGGTTCAACGAGGGGCATCTCGTGGTTGCAAAAATACCCAATGAGGGCAAAATTAATATTTGAATTAACTTTCAGTTTCCAAACAATGAGGCAGGACAAGAATACTTCCCAGCAAATATGGTGGAGTATTACTAATGTTTCTGTATAGACTACGATTACTGAAGCTCCAGCCTGTTTGTTTCCTGTGCTGAATTTTGAGGATGATATCAAACTATGCATCATGTCTTAATCCTGCTTTAATGGTGTATCATGTTAAGCACTAAGGAGAGGAGTGAAGTCTAAACATCACTGATATTTAGTACATTTCAGTGTTGGCAGTTGTGTACACCAGATGATCAAAAAGGCCTTGCTGCTGTGCAGAATATAACATTGCTGTATTAGTGTCTACGAGAAACTTTGATAGACTGGTACGCTTGTTAAAGGCTGCACAGAACAATTTATTTTTCTTCACTGACACTGCTGCCAAATGGAGTTCTGAATAATGCCATTTACAAAATTTTAGTTAAAGATGTTTAGGTTGCAAATTCAGACTTAATCTAGACACGTCATAGAGCAAATTCTCGTTCTACTGCAAAAAGATCCAATTTGCCAGTCCTTCAGGACTACAGCATCTATCACACGTTGTATAGCGGTGTTAAATGCCACCTTCTGTGCAGGTTATTCTCCCTCTGCTGGGTGCTCTCCAAGTTCCATGTGTGATGATAAAAGAGACTTTAACTTATCACAGCTCAAAGTAATAAGATACTCACTGCAGTACTGCTGCTTGCTGCTGCTGTGGGCTGCCAGAGGGCTTCACATGCTGCTCTTGTCTTCTGTTTCTGCATCTGCATTTAATTCTGTTTGTACGTGTAGCTGCCAGAAATACAGGTGAACCTTGCTGTTGTGTTCATATTAAAAAGTAAATTCTCCTTTTTCCAGGTAACCGTTCTTCTGTTCCACTGACAACCCCGTTATCTTCATCTAGATTAGCTAACTTAAGTAATTAAAGGTAAAATTTGAATGAAAACAGAATAGCTTCTTCAGACACTTAAAGTCACTGTGCCAAGTCATGAGAAGACCAGAAGCCTCTTATCTTCACCAAGATTCTCCTCAAATTTTGTAACTCGAATTTGTCTATTTGACTTCAATGCGTACTTTTTGTGTTAGTGGGACATAGTAGTAACAAGGATTATTTGTTGAGAATGCATTCTTGTCTATGAGTAGCTATTCCTTAACTGAATTATATAACTTACAAAACCTGTTTTTCTTTCTCCTTTCTAAAGCTGAAGAATTTAGTTGTTATGCACCTAGAATCTTTCCTGGTTCTCTTTAAAGCTCCTTTATTTTTCTTTCTCTCTTTTTCTCTGTCTTAATCTCCTTCCTCTCCTGCTCCTTAAGGCCTTGGAATATCTTTTCAAGTTCATTGTCCAATCTCGGATCCTTTACTCCAGAGCTACTTGCGGAATGGAGGAGGAACAGTTCCGCTCCAGCATCCAGGAGCTTTTCCAGTCCATCAGATTTGTGCTCAGCTTGGACAGTAGGAGCTCTGAGACTCTGATCTTCACACAGGTTTGCTGTTTTCTACACTTTAACTGGCAAATCAAAAGGCAGCTATTTTCTGCATGGGTAGTACATATGGGCACGTGAAGATTAAATGCAGATTAGTACTGAGTTTAACCCCATCTAACAAGCTGATGATACTGGAAAACGACATAGCCAATTACTGATACTAGGCAGTAGTTTTGCACCACTTCACAGATATAGGTGAGCTGAACCGTGGGCTCTCAAGAGGAGAGTGACTTGTGACATCAGAATATAACTTTTGCTCTTTGCAGAAGTGAATGGCATTTTTAAGCCTCTCATTCATATGTCTAACGGTTGGCCTCAAGAAATTTTAAATCCTTAACTGTAGTAGCTCAAGTCAATACTTAAGGTCATAGCAACATCACAGTAGAGAAGTTCAGTTGATGTGCTCACGGTCAGTTAAAACTTAATTCCAGCATACTCTAAAATTACAGTCAGAATCTTAATGCAGCCTGGCCGCAAGCATACTGTGATACCCACGCTCACATTTAATACATTACTTTGAATATGGCCCAGATGACTTAACGAAGACTTCGTGTGGGCTTAAGATGCTACTCAAAGCGAGTAAGGATGCTGCTAAGTTTTGTTTCATATTTTAAAGACCACTGTACTAAATTACATACTTCTGTTTTTAAAAGTTTTAAATAGTAATGTCAAATGTGTCGTGTGTGCTTCAGCTCAGCAAATGTCAGAATGGACCACCTAGATCTTTCTGGTTTTATGAAGGTGATTTGTAATCACTAATTTACTATTTACAGATGTTTTGAATGCCAAAGAAGCAGATGTTTGTGAACGTTGAAACAAACAAGAGTGACGCCACTGGTTAGGGAAGCTGCCAGCAATGTGATCTCTTTCTTACAAAGCTGCTCTGAAAGATTTTGAGAACAGCTGCTCTAATCTTTTATTTAACCACCCATTAGTGGGTATAATAAGATGAGCCAGGAGCGTGAGAAATCAGTGCACAGAATTTTGCAGGCAAAAGTGACAGTGAGTGGAAACGGCATCTTAGGAATGCAGGCAGCTTAGGGTTCTTTGGTTTTCAGTTGTGTTGATCACAAATACAGAGGGACACCAGATTCGAGGATGGGGTTATTTTCCCTTTTTCTCTTTGTCTTTTTTCCCCCCCTCCTCCTTTCTCTCACTATGGTATTTCTTACTTTGGACTTCTGTAATTTGTAAAGCCTGTCCTTGTTTAATCTTTGAAAAGTTTACTTTTTGTTTCCCCCTTGCCACTATGTTGCCCCTTGATCCCAATTGCCCCATAGGCCTCTCAGCCTGGAGGGCAGGCGAGTGGAGCTGGGACTTGTGCCCCACAAAAATGTGGTGGTACTTCAAGGCCGTCATTTAATTCTGTAAGTAACAATCCCCAGAACTGCACAAGTACTTCATCACAGATGTTCCCAATTAATCCCTTTTCCCTACCCCAAACCCTCTTATCCTGCATATAAACTGGAATTTAATGTTCAAGTGGCTGGTACTTTAGGAAATGTGGAATATTTCAGTAATTAATGGAACCCCTTATGGCATCCACACCCTGAAAAGACAGTACGGAGGGCTTCTGCAAGATTATATGTGTCAAATTGTCAGGAGAGCCAAGGAGATTATTCTGGAAATACGGGCAACTGTTAAATATCTGTGGAAATGCTGGAGGTCCTAGCAAACATAATTTTCTTCACACTTGTCCTCTTGCCCAGGATATTAGATCTCAGTATAGTTCTTCCCAGCAATGAAATTAAAACCGAGTATGTCCTTCCTTCCAAGCCATTAGCCTGACATGAGTAATGTCCCAGCGTAATTTAGGGTGTTGTACAAAAAAGGGCCCTTCAAGGAACTGATGAAATGGTGTAGCTGTTCCTCGAGATGGCTCCAAAGCTTCCTGAAGAGATCCCGTGCATATCCTTAGCTTGCTACTGGATGTCCTAATTCACCACAGAAATCCTTCTGCTTTATAGTAACAGAAGTAAGTTCAGGAAAACTCCTGTTAGGATTTGTTGGGCCAATATTGTAATTTCACTTACATTACCCCAAAGATAAAGATGATGACTGGATTTGTGGCTGCTACACAGCCTTCAAAGAGTACCATGAGCTATTTAAATGATTAATTTTTGTTTATTTTGTTAGTACATTGTATGTATGTAGCAACAAATAGGTGACAACACCCAGGAAGCTATGTGGGGTTTTGTGTAATCTGAATTCATTGTAACAAGACAAGATGTTGAGAGAGATAACAAGCATGAAGAAGAAAGAGGTAAATTTATATTAAGAATAGTTTCATGGACTCTACAGTGTTAGCTGTAAAAATAACTTAGACTTTGCTCAAAGACTATTAAATAGGTAGTGGTACCACTGCTGTTTGAAGGAAAAGATATTTTGAGGAAAGGCTTGGCAAAGAAGGAAGCTGCATATTATATGGGATTAGGAGAGGCATGCCAAGCATTAGAGCCAGCATGGGAGAGGGACAGAAATGTTTATGCAATGAGAAAACAAAAAATATCTGTGAGGAAAAGGAGAACTTGCAGAATAGAAGAAAATACCGATAGGTGGTGAGACTCTGGAAGGGCAAAGCTGAACAGAGATCTGCAACAAAGTTTGGTAAATCTGAATTTTTGCAGATCAGTGTGGGGAGCCTCAGACAGGGGAGGTGGAACAGCAAGAAGGGGCAAGCGTGGCGGGGGGCTGCAGCTGGGGTGGGTGGGAGGATGGCAGCTGAACCAAAACCAGACTGCCCAGCAGTTCAGGAAAGCAACCACCTAGGAATTTAAGTAGTTCTGATGAGGAAACAGGTATGGGCCTTGGGTAGAAGAAAGAGAAGAATTTTAGAACACGAGAGGTGTGTGGCAGTTGTTAGGTATGACACCATGGCTGTGGAACTTGAGGGTAGGGCGATGCATGGAATTTTCTACTGTTATGAAGAAATAAATTGAAAAAGTGTGAAATAAGAAATTAAGGGCTTGATTTATTTTGTTGTGCTGATATTGTTTCTGCACTTTAAGAAACACCTTCAAGGATAGTTCCAGCTTGCTGGAAATACCCGTTATTGCAGGAATCACATGCACAGTTACTTGCATGATGTGATGCCTCTTGCATGTGAAATCTCACCCCAGCCCTGTTGCAGAACTATTGTGATGTCCCATGACAGTGCTGCTACGGTTAAGGGTCTGTCAGCGTGTTCTCCCCTTCAGAATATTTTCTGAAGAGTTTTAACTGTCTTAGTTGCTCAGTACAAAAAACTGTTATGAAACTCTCTAATCAGAAGCAATTTTTATATTTATTGAAAAAAGTAAATCAACAAAAATGGACTATTTTCTGTTCTCTGGTATCTCCATTTTTTCCTGTTTTGTAAAGCTCTGCTCTAAAATACAGCCTTTCGAAGCTCTACAGTATGCACGCGCTCAACTCACCATAAGACCTAGTATTGCAACAGCACTTGATTTTCATATAGTACATATGATTTGTTCATTATCAGCTTTAGGTATTGCAAACCATTAACACCAGCCATAGTGTACTATTCGGTAGCTTTTTGCAGACCCTTACTTCAGTTTTACTATTGTTTCTATTTCTCTGTGTCTAGCTGCAGTTACAGAATTCAGAATTTTCACTTCCTTCATTTACTTTTTCCAGGCTGCTTTGCTGAACTCCTTCCCTGCTATCTTTGATGAGCTGTTGCAGATGTTCACTGTGCAGGAAGTTGCAGAGTTCGTGAGGGGTACTTTGGGCAGCATGCCCAGTACAGTACACATCGGGCAATCAATGGATGTTGTTAAGCTACAATCTATTGCACGCACTGTTGACAGCCGCCTGTTCTCTTTCTCAGGTAAGACAGCGGTATCTGAGGCCGCAGTCTTGCAGCTAACTAAGAGCAAGAGCCCGTTACATTTGTTTTGCAGTTGCTTTGTTGCAAAGTGCATTGCTGAGTGCCAATAATCTTGGTAATTATTTATCTCGGCGGTATCATTGTTACGTATCTTCACTGCAGGTACTTTGTATGTTTCTCTGTGGTAGAAAATGTTTATAAATCCATCCTGGGTAAATTGTAGTTACTAAGGGTTGATAAAAATACGTACCTTAACAAATCAAGTCAGTTATTAAAGCTGCCAAATCTCACTTGATACTTTGTTATTCCTCGTCTGTCATTGTCATGGATAGGGAGATAACCTCCTTTCCAGCAAGCTTGTTGTCTGAGGAACAGGGAGATAAAGTTATGTGAGAAACCCACTGCCTTCTTTTAAAGTATGTTTAATCATTACATTATAACTTCAATATTTCTTTAGCTCAACATATTAGTTAATTCTTTAAGAACTAATTGAATGAAGAAGGGTTGAAGAGTGTGAGTTTATTTCATACATAAAGGTGTGAATGAAAGAAGTTACGAGGGTAACAGTGCAAGACAAGAAAGTGCCATTGCGCTTATCTTTGCTATAGTAAGGATCTCAAGTTGGTGCATTCAGTGCAAGGTGAGAATGATAACAACACAGAATCATGTTCGAACCATCCATTGTTATTGTTTATAAACATATGAGTTTTTTCTTAAATTTGAAATTAATCTCAAAAAGTACGAGTGTGGAGAACGAGTAAGTTAGTCCTTTGTGGGGGCTGTGACACAGGCAGTGAATTTTACCTAATTATAGTGTTTTGAACCTATTGCTAAAAATATTTGTGGGTGCCAGTTCATGAGCAAAATCCTCCTCTTCTGGCTTCTCAGTAAAGCCAGGTGTGTCCAGCACTTTAGTCCTTCCCAAACCTTCATTTCTCCTTTACAATGATACTGGCAACAAGTGATACTTTTAGCTACTGCAGAGCACCATGACGCCTCACTATGGCGTCAAAAGCCAGAAAGCAAGCTTCAGTATTGCAAGGCAGCTATGACTACAGGTGGCACATTTTCCACCCGGCATAACGATAGACCCCTGTCCTATGGAAGCATGACCCAATACTCCCAGCTCAACAGTCTCTCCCATGTTCTGTCAGAACCTGGGAAGATGAATCTATTTTCCAAAGTTCTTCTGGCTGCCCACCCTACCTGCTCTTAAGGCCTTGCAATTAAAGGAAGATACAGTCTCTTCTTCTTGCCTCCCATATGGTGATGACTTTTTTTTTCCCTTTGATCTCTCCTATCAGTCCATTTGCTGACACTTTTTTCCCCTGGTCTCTTTTTTTCCTGTTTTGGCTACTGTTCTCTGCAGCTGGTACCTGCTCTTTCTTCTTTAATAGGATTAAGGTTTGTAAGCCAGCTAAGAGAGAAGAATTAGCTGGCTTCCAAGAGGCATATATTTGAGAAGCTCTGGTAGCTGGGACAATAGAGCTGGAAAGCAATGTGAAGTGAGGAAGGGTTCGCACAAAGGAAATCACCATTAGAAAGTACCAGTTCACAACTGTTGTTTCCAAGCTGTATCTCTGTTGAGAACACCACGTATACTGCATTTAGAAACTTTTGAAACTAGATGCACCATGAATTCATTAGATACAGTTCTTGGAAGTACGATGCACTGCACCCTGTACAGTAGAATTTGCACCAGTTAATCAAACGTGCTGTTTATCAGTAGGCTATACAAAACCCAGGTACCAAAAGGCTGCTGATTGGGATGGTTGAAATGTAATTTTCTTCTGGAAGACCTGTGACCTGATTTTCCTTTTTTCAGAGTCCCGGCGCATCCTGCTACCTGTAGTTCTTCACCACATTCACCTTCACCTACGACAGCAGAAGGAACTGCTTATCTGCTCTGGGATCCTCAGTAGTATCTTCTCCATAATCAAGGCCAGCTCTTTGGTAATCTGCTGCTTGATATTTTTTTTTATTTTTATTTTTTTTAATTGCACCACTGATTTAGTAAAAGGGAGACTGAGGGATTTTTATAGGTTAATACAGGTTTTTCAAAGATCCTTTTAAAAACAAAATTCTCCTAACTTCTTGTCAGCAGGAGAATATCTGAAATGAGGGTCTGCTTTTGTGTGCATGACTCAGAGCATTCTGATTACACAGTGTTCTTGCTGTTAGGAGGGGAATAAAGCATACGCATTTACCAGGTTTGACACTGTTTAATTTTCTTCATCCAAGCCCAGAACTTAGATGTCAATGGAGTTCAAAAGCTCTACGCAGCTCTAGGACATGCAGTTCTGCAAGAGACAGTAACTAGCACTTTGTGATTCCTGTTAAGAGAATACTCTAAAATTATCCAATCAATGAAATCACACTTACTTCTGGAAATTGCCGCTGAGTTTAAACACCCAGCTTTTATGATCATAATACTCTGACCTCAAATGGTAACTTGATCATTTAAAGCAGTGCTCACAAACAAAGGGTGGTGAAGTTTCCCCGCCTGATTCTGAAGGAGGAAGCTCATGGTGCTAAATATAATTCATACCAACGAGTATTTCCAATTACAAGTTATGGTTTTGTGTGAAAGGAATGAGATGAAAGGTATCATGGAAATAAGATGAAATAATGCTGCCATAGAATAAAGGTTCCTGAAGATAATTTGATCCCATTGTGTTCTAGAGCATATGCAGACCTTTGATTATAGATTTACCTTTATGGCTGTGACCCTGAATGTTTCCATCGGAGACTGATGAGGTAACACACACACACACCGGCATCACAACAATATCGGGTACCAGTGATGACTTTGTACTTCTCTGAACCTCCATTAAGGAGCTCTCTATCAAAACAAGATTGTGGTATGGCTGACTCAGCAGAATTGTCTTTGCCAATTCTGTTCTCTACAGTTTCTAACTGTTTGCTCACCTCTTACTGTAGGAGGGAGATGTCGTGGAGGAGGTTGAGATGATGGTGGAGAGCCTCCTGGATGTGCTTTTACAAACTCTGCTTACAATCATGAGTAAATCGCAGTCTCAGGAGGCGGTAAGAGGGCAGCGTTGCCCGCAGTGCACAGCAGAAATCACTGTTAGTAACTAACAATCAGTTTCTATTTCCTGCTTCTCTAACCTTTGGTTCAGTCCCTCACCACCACCGGCACCTCATTATCATCTCTGCTGCATGAATGCCCAGGGCTTTGTCTCTTTCTCTTAATAAGCCAGAAATCCATCCCTTCCTCTGTGCAGTAGTGAGGTCTGCAGGAAGCAGTGGAGCTTAGGAGGCTTTTGTGGATTTCCAGGTTATTTTCTTGTTTGTCTTTGCAGCTGTGATTGAGAGTTACTGTTTGGAACTTGAGGCATATCCTAGCTGGGTAGCTGCCTAGGGCTTCACCCCTAAATGGGTCTCACCAAGGGTTATGTGAGCATCAGGCTCTGATTCCTAAGACTAATCCCTAATTCCTAACACCGTAATGCTCAGTGGACAAGTCCCTTTACTTAACACCCTGGAGAGCTTCTGTCCAGGTTCACTGATTATTTCATGCAAATGAAACACAACATACTTTCGAAAAAAACCCAGACAGATCCTAAGTCAAGTGAGCTGTTGAGCTTGGTGGGAGGAGAGGGAAAAGCCACTACTTTGTCCAGACTGTCAGCATAAGCCAAGGGGAATCATAGAATCATAGAATGTTTTGGGTTGGAAGGGACCCCTAGAGGTCATCTAGTCCAACCCCCCCGCAGGAGCAGGGACACCGCTAACTAGATCAGGTTGCTCAGAGCCCCGTCCAACCTGGCCTTGAATGTTTCCAGGGATGGGGCCTCCACTGCCTCTCTGGGCAACCTGTTCAAGTGTTTCAGCACCCTCATTGTAAAGAACTTCTTCCTTATATCCAGTCTAAACCTACCCTGTTTTAGTTTAAAACCATTACCCCTTGTCTTGTCACTGCTGGCCCTACTAAAAAGATTTTCCCCATCTTTCCTATAGGCCCCCTTTAGGTACTGAAAGGCCGTAATCTGTGACATGCAGTGGAAGAGGAGAATAATAGAATTTTGCTGTTCAGCTTTATTCTTTTCTGGATTTGTTGCCCTTTTCCATTCTTGCCTATTTTAGTCTAATTTTACTTGGCAAAATCTCTAGTGCAGATTTAGCACCATGTATGATGTTAAGCTGTTGTTAGAACATCCCTTTTTTTCAATGTGCCATTTTATCTAGTGGCTGAAACCTCAGAGGTACCACTGGGAGCAGGCGTACACTGAGGCACACGTCTCACACAGGAGAAAAGGTTCTATCTTCCTACGTATAAAGTAAAAGAATACAGATAAAAGAACAAACGGTAGAATCCTAACAAGGCATTTCGTAGTCTTCAGACATGGTCCTTGATACAAAACACGAAAGGCGCTAGCTTGCAGATGTCCAGTGACATCTCAGTTTCCTGTTACTCCTACCACTTGACTTACTGTTACTGATCATATGCCACCTCACACATAACAGCACACCTTTTTGCCTAATGAAGTTCAGCCCTGTAAAGTTCATTGGTACAACCTCTGTCAAAGCTTCTGGGTAGACGCTTGAGCCAATCAGAAAAAAAATGAAAATGGGATGGACAGTCCCAAGTATGAAATCCCCTTGTATTTGTTCCTGAATTTGTATTTCACAGCACAGTGATACGTGGAACCTTATTGCATAGTGCTTAGAAAGTTGTTTGTGTATTGTCCAAATTAATTGCTTGTTGTCACAGAAAAAAACCAGTGTTGTGCAAGGGACTGGCAGTCAAAAGACATAGTCCTTACGTTCTTGGCACTGCCTTGCTTGTTATCTCGGGCAAATTGCTTAACTTCTCTGTGCTTTGCTTTCAGATATATAAAATGGGGGAGCTCATCTTTGGAAAGCACTTTGGGATACTGTGGTAACCGGTTAGGGTGCATCTCCTTTGCAGGCCAGAAATGTAATTGTAGCTCATGTAGGCTTACCCAAACTGTACTCAGAATACCTTGCTGGAATACTGTTAGTACTGTAGCTATGACAGCGCATAACTCGGTGAACACTAATCAGCCAAATATTTACAACATTGCAGACACCTTTTGTAGCCCGCACTGATCCCATGCTGTCATCGCTATACTGTTTTGAGTATCTGAGCCAATTAGTATAAATAATTCCTGGTATGTCTGCATGAGCTGCAGTCACACCGTTGATAGCTGTAGTATATTAAGTATCTGAAGAAGGTGATTGTCAAAAACTGCATGCTTGGAGGGCGATTCATTAATGTCTGCACTCATCATTTTAAATTATTTTTGTTCAGACTACAACATTGGTTAAAAGACCTTTAAAAGTGGCGTCTGTGGGGGACCCTCTAAGAGGTGTATTCCTATGTATGAACAGTAATTCAAGAACTGTTAACGTGCAGTATTTTTAATCTCTGTGCATGTCAGCTTTCCTCTCATAGGCATTGGGGCCATTTCAGACCCCTCCCTTTATACCTTACCCCAGGTTGAGTTTTATATTTATGAAACTTCAGATTGTCTGAATGAAACAGCTTTTCATTTGGTTAACAGGGAGAATATGTCTCCTGCCTTTTATCTTTGCTTCGTCAGATGTCAGACACTCATTTCCAGCACTTACTGGACAACTTCCAAAGCAAGGATGAACTGAAGGTATGGCAGAACATCAGGTTTGTAGGGCAATTCACTCAGGATGGGAGAGCAGAGGGGAATCCCTCCAGCACTGGTTGCTCTCCTGATCATTCCTATTCGCTGGAGATTCAGGGACCTTCCTTCACTGTTACAACAGTAGGTGTTGTGTTACAAAAATATTTAAGACCACAGGGCACTGAATTATCTTCATAACAGCAAATAAAGTCCCTAGATAGATGTTGTTAGACATAAGAAGATACTGTACAATACGAAACATAGTCAGAGGAACAGGGTTTTTTTTAAATCCTGTGAATGTGGAGTCAGTTGTTCTGTAGCATTTTACTGGATGTTCAATATGCATTGGCACTTACTCACAAAGGGTGTTGATTTTATGCCAAAAGAGAATTTCAAGCCTTCTTGGGGATACAAATGTTTCTAGCACATGAAATCTTTCTTGGGAAAGCAGTAAGCTTGCTACTCCACTTGCTGCATGCTTCCCAAATTTGTGAACGTTAACTTAAATTACGGCTCTTCATGAACAGAAGGGGTTGGCGAGGGGTACAGACCTTTCTGGTGGCTTTTTTGCCACTGACACTTTGAAATGGCATGTCTCAAAGCAGCAGAAACTAACTTTTTATCTCAGCTTCCACAGGAAAGAGGAATATCTGCGACAACAGTCTGTTTAAAAGGCAGAAGTATTTCGTAAATAAAGACAGGATTTTATATAAAATGTTTCTGATTAGCATGGCACTCAATAAAATATGCACAATAGGAATGTAATGTGGCAGGAACTTATGTTGCCTTAACAAATGAAATGGAGCAACAGTGAGAAGTCCTCTCTGAACAGGCTTTCAGCTTCGAAATATTTTGTGTGTGTACAGAGAGGCTGAATAAATCAGGGAGATAAATTTGGGATGATGCAATTCTTACCTTTAGGTTGCAGGGTTCAGTGTATCTCGGATTGATAGTTATCTGAGATTGCTACCTTTCAGGTAACTTTCAGATGTCTCATAGGAAAATGGTTGGGTAAATTAATTCTTGTTAATTTTTAATAGATACTTTTACAAGCTATAGTTCTTATGTCAGACCAGTGAAAAGGTCTGTCATTGAACCAAAATTTGTCTTTACACCCGTAAGAACAGACGCTGTTGTATCTCTGATAATCTAAGGATATATGTTCCAGGAGTATCACAGAGGCTGAAGATTTCATACCCAACTTTTATTCCAGCTATCAGTTGACCTAATAAAATATATTACTTTTCCCTCAAATATTGCTGTAATAATACTTTTTCTTGGATGGAAAGGCATTGTGTTCCCTTACCAGTGTTACATCTAGGCCAAAGTGAGGCCAAAAGTCAAGCAGCTTCCAACACTTTACTCTTTGCTCAGTTACACCAAGACATTAATCTCCTCCTTGTCCCCCACGTTAAGGCATAGTGGTGGGACAGGCTTTTTGAAACCTTGGGCTGCCACTTCCTGTGCTGTCTTGATTTTGTGTAGAAGAAAAACAAAACAATGAAATCATAGTTTGCGAGGCCAACAACTTGGCATGTTTTATCACTCCTTTATAGACACGGAGGTGCAGGTAGTCAAGAAAGAGAAATGTCTTCAATTTGGGGATTTTTTTGGAAAGCAAATGCTCAGTGAATGTGCTTAAGGGATCTTTGCTGCTGCATCTTGCCAGAAATGGGGGTTTCTGTTACTATTTTTAAAAGCATATGTAGGAGTTTTATTGGGCTTGGGTGTGGGGGGTTTTGTCAAATCTGTGATATAAGTGCAAATTGGGACTGGAACTTCCGATGATAATATGGGAAGTCATACACGATTATGCCCAAAAGGAAGTTTTTCATCTCACTGTAGAAGTTAACATTTAAGACAGCTGCAATTAGTTTAGTACATCGGATGCATACAAAGTTAATAGAGCCATATCCCAACATATGTTGTTTCCATATTTTCAGGTGAATGGCATAGTAACACAAAGCTCCAGTGGAGCACACTTAACTTGTCTGTCTTATAATCAATAAAAGAGATTAATCAGCAGCTGCTGGTGATTTTTTTTAACATTTTTTCCCTGTGTGATAGGAGTTCCTCCTGAAGATTTTCTGTGTATTTCGGAATCTGATGAAAATGAGTGTCTTTCCTCGAGACTGGATGGTGATGAGGTTGCTCACCAGCAAGTAAGTAGAGAAGCAGGTATAAACTGTTGACATTCTGTATCGGAATTTTTTCTCCTCAGCTGGGCAGTTACAATCTGTGATGCAGTGTGTTTCATCAGACTGAGGCCTCTCACCTCCCTTTCTCAGTAAATTACTACATTAAATGTCTGTCTCTTCCCATGAGCATCACTCCTTAGCCTCCCTAGGAGGAGGACTCGTTATTTTAGAAGAGGAGCAGACCCTAGCGATGACACCGTGTGCATTACATACAGAGTTATTTCTCAATTAAATGGTCAGTACCATTTTAATGCTTAATTTTATCTGATCTTCTTGGTTCTGAGGGGTTAAGTACCGTGCTGTTTGGAATGGCAGCAGTGTGATGAATGTGGGGTGGCTGCACTTAGTTACTAGCTCCTCTACATAAACTAGCTACAGGATTACTACTGATGAACTGACGCCTGGAGGGGTTCCCATTACATGATGGAAGTTTTCCTCAAGGCTGGCTGCTCAGCTGAGATGTATGCTCTGCAAGCTCACCGTGCTAACGAAAAGTGAAAGAAGTGGGTTTCAGTATGGCAAGTGCAAAGATTAAACAAAGTTCTGTAAGAAAAGAAAAACCCATGTGACAGAGTAGTTGCCTCAGATGCTGTAGGTTACCTAGTTCCCTTTGGCGTAATTTTGCCATAAACCCTCAGACTGATAGGTAAGTGTAGCAGTGTCACTGAAGTATTGCTTGCATGTGATGGCCTGTTTCTTTTGATAATATTGTTGCCTTATCTACATGCTATTTATTAATTCCTGAATTTATCATGTGCCTTGATTGCCTTTCACTAAGGTTTATTTAGCCACCTACAAAAAAATACCAGGGAATCCAGAATTGGCAAAATACTCACAAATATCTTGAGTTGAAGTGTGAGCCAGATGAAGGACCATTGCATAGCCAAGTACCAAAATAGCTCAAACTTTGAGTTGCTCTTCTCAGAGGGGGAAAGAAATCTTTCTGCTTAAAATAGGAGGAAGATGGGTGTATTCTGTCATTCACTGGGGGTAATGTGGCCCAGCCATACACAACAGACAGGATTTTAAATGCTCCTGTGTGAATTCCAAAAGTTACAATAATGATGAAGATTCTTAATCTTGTATCACTTAGTACAAATTGTTTATTAAAATGTAGAAAGATAGGTGACTTCTATGTAAATCTAGCAGTGATTACATGGAGAACACCCATCTCCTGTACTTACAGTAAAATCTGCACCACTAACCGCTGTAATGTTATACTCCAGATTCAAATGTTCTTCTTTTGTTTCCTTTTTTTTTATTTTTGACTGCAGTATCATAGTTACAACAGTTCAGTACCTATCTTCTGCACTGCATAAGAATTTCACGGAGACGGACTTTGATTTTAAAGTAAGAATTCATTCTCAGAAAATGTTATGACATCTTTTTAAACTAGCAGTGACAAAGGAACAAGAGCTGTTCTCTGTGTTAGCTGATTATATTTGCAGCATTTATTTGAGTATCTGTGAGGACAATGACCTAACTGATAAAAGACAGGAATTTGAATCTGCTGCGGAACTGAGGGGAAGTAGAACAGATACCCTGTGAGATCAAATCAAGAAAATTGAGCCTCTCATAAAGGAAACGAGTATCTTCATAAGCAGTGGGGCTAATGAAGCATGCTGGCTCACAGATTCATTGCTAATAAAATGAAAACTCAGGCAATGCTTTTCCTGAAGTTGGGGCATTCATCATCTTCCTCTCCCAGAGGTCTCTCTGGCTGTTGACTTCAAACTCGGAAGAACACTGTATCTCAGAGAGTGTTTTTCCTCTGTTTGATATTGCTGAAAATGGGCACCACGTTCACTGTTACTGAGGAGAAGCTGCCAGCCGTACCTAGGCACACGTACACACAGCATGATGGCAACAGCCTCAGTCTTTGGGAGAACTGACTAAATCATAGGGCTCTCGTTCATCATTTAATGTAATCTCGGGGGATTTACTTTTGAGGGATAAAATCTGTTTAGCCTACAGAAGAAAGAAAACTTCACTGAAGTCACCAAGCTCATTTTGAACTCTGGTGCTAAGAACAAAGCTCAGCGGCATTACCTTCTTGGGGTTTTTAATTTTAGTTCCTACCGGGTTTTAAATAATCCATTGGTATCCATAAAGACTTTAGTATCACAATAGTTAAGGTACATATTGATTAAGTTCCGTCTTCATTACAAAAAGGAACAGCCTGATATGACATATAAAGGAACATATGTCTTCCTACACTTGTTTAAAACTTACTATTTGGAGTGTAAAGTTACAAAACTTTCTTCCTGTGTCACAGGTGTGGAACTCTTACTTCAGCCTGGCAGTTTTGTTTATAAACCAGCCAAGTCTCCAACTAGAAAATGCGACACCAGCTAAAAGGAAGAAGACTCTGGATAAGTAAGAACATGTTTTGTTGGGTTCCCAGCCTTTTCTGCTACCTCAAAAATGAGACTTCTTTTTCTACCACAAGTCCCTGTCATTTATTATGGACTTGGGATGTGGAAATGTTTGGGAAATTTGTAAGTAGATCTCCTAATACAGTGTTCAGTGATTAGTCGACTTGTTTGATATTCTTAATGTTGACTTAAAGGTGAATTTGATTTATTATTTTTTAACATCACTGCCTTGCCAGTTTTTGTTCCATTAGGCAGTTGTCTGTCTCCTCTCTTTTAGATATGGCGATATGAGAGTGATGATGGCATATGAGCTCTTCAGCATGTGGCAGAACCTGGGTACGTCTCTCCCTTCTCTGTCCTAACAAGCACAGCCAAAGTTACTCTGGATTTCTCTTGGAATCTTTTTTTTTTTAACCTTTTGTAGCATCATAGAATAGTTTCTCTCAAGAGTTCTAAAACCAGGAAGCACTTCTCTTCTCCCACCAAAAACTCTCCCCTGCACTACCTCATCATGCTTTTTTATTTGAAATAATACATTCCTGTAGATTTGAATGCTTTCTTCTCAAATGCAGCAGTGGCAGGTTTGGGTTGGTTTGACACATCAGTGACAGTTTTTATGTATTAAACACAAAATCATCTTTTTCTGATCCCTTTAACTGTGCTGCAGCCAGGTTCAGATGGAGATACACTGTTGCTCTCTGACTTTTGTCTGATCCATGGCTGTAAAGCAGAAATTTAAATTTTCACAGCTATAACCAACTCTGTAATGTTGTAGATGACTGAAAAGCCAAACAGGATTCAAAATTATGGAATCATAGAATCATTTAACATCATTGAGTCCAACCATAAACCTAACGCTACCAAGTCCACCACTAAACCATAGCTATGTCTGTTTGATAAGGAAGCCCAGAAGTGGCACAGTAAAGCTGCTTATCTAGCATGCATAACAAATTCTACATTACTACTTTAAAAAGTAAAAAAAAAAACAAAAAAACAAAAAACTAAAAAAAAAAAAAAGCCAAAACCCACAAAAGCCCTGTCCATAATAACACAGTGTTTGTGATACAATTTCAAGTTCTGTGATTCATTTGACCTTTTTGTGTATATTTTGATTTTTTCTGCATATTTTTGAATTTTGAAGAAATTAAGCATGTTGCAAAATGGGGAAAAATGTATCTCACCACAAGCCTCAAAAGGTAAATGGAGATTTTTCATCTGGGACTTGTGCTTTTGGAAGTGTGCTGCAGCAGTCTTGGGTTTAGGTAATCCAGGATGTTATTACCAGAAGAGCCACATAACATCTGTTCTGCATCAGAGCAAGTCCAGCCAGGCCAGTATCCCATCTCCATCAGGGTCCAAAAATTAACATCTATGGAAATGTTTGAGGACAAAGGGATCATACAGTATTTTAGAGGAAAATAAAAAAAATGTTTGCTGATGGAGAGAGATCACAAATCATACAAGGTTCTGAAAACGGGTAAATCATTAAGAGAGCAAGGAATGATACAAATGAGATTGGATAACTTGATAATGTGGCTGCAAGCAATATGTTCAAAGATCCAAATACAAACATTTTATTTGTAGGAGTAAAGGTAGGAGTGCTATTCAAGAAAACAAAGACTACAAATCATGCTGATGATCAGCTGAATGGGAGCTACCTGTAAAATGCCATGAGTAAAAAAAAAAAAAAAACCATAATCTTTGAGAAAATGTGTAAGCATCTTGAGTTTGCCCAGTCTTGCTTTCTACAGCTCAAAAAACCCCTCCAAACAAACCAAAATAGGCTGGACAGAGTTCAGAGAGCAGTCAGGAAGATGATTACTGCAGTAAGAAAATGCCTTATTATAAAATACTGAATAAGCCTGACCGAAGTCTTGCACACCTTGGGTGATACAGCCAGGCTTGATCAGTTTCTAAGCATCTGTGTGGAGAACCAGAAAATTATGCTAGACAAATGCAAATAAGAAGTGAAAGCCCATTTTAGATATGTAGATACAGATATTTATCACTGACTGTTGTTCCAAATGTGGCTATTTCAATTTATTCTCTGTGACTGCACAATAAGCATGCCACGGAAGAGACAGCAAAATGCCTTGGGTTTCTGTTGCGGAGAAGCACCGTAATTTGGTCCAAAGTCAAGGTCAGTTATGAAGTTGTGACTTCCATAGCACCGAGGCTGAAGAGCTCTTTGAAATCTAAATATGTTCTCTTAAATACCATTGTTCTCACCAGCCCTTTCAGAATCTTTTTCTTTATAAATTAGAAGTGTCTGTGGCCTCTTTTCCCCCTCGTTAGTATGTTTTAGTCTGGTTATTTTTGACGCTTTGAATTCCTTTGCAAGTAAAATGCACTGACAAGTTTTGCTGAAGGCTTTCACAGTGAAATTAAAAATGCTCCTAGAGACTTTGTGAGGAATAGTGTAAAGCAAATACTGGTTTTTCAGTCCTTTCAGGAAAAGAATGTGTTTGCTTTTCTAGTGCTCCTGCCTGCTACTTTGTATATGTCATTATTGCAGGGGTTTCCCGTTTTCTCAGTGACAGATAACAAAGGCTTTTATTTAATTACAGTTGCTTTGTATTGTACAGGTGAGCATAAGATTCACTTTATTCCGGGAATGATTGGCCCCTTTCTTGGTGTTACACTTGTTCCACAACCAGAAGTCCGGAATATCATGATCCCTATCTTCCATGACATGATGGACTGGGAGCAGAGAAAGAACGGCAACTTCAAACAGGTGAAGCCGCTTCTCGAGCATTTGCAGTATTCTTTTTCTTGCTCTGTCTATCTGCAGTGTCCAGCTGGAAGCAAGGGGTTTGTATCTGTTGATCCGTTTCTGATTGTGAAGATGTTGTCATGTAAATATCTAAAAATAGTAAATTTGAAGCATAATTTACAAAACTATTACAAGACAGTGCACTTCACCGCAAGCTGCATTTCCCCTGGACATAGAGAAGAGGAGCGATGTGCTCATGACATGGGAGTTGAGGAAGAGAAAAAGATTTTGTAAATGCTGGGCTCTCACTGCTCCCCTTGGTTTCCCTTAGATTATCAGTCAGCCATTAAATGGGTCAGACTGAAACCCAGAAATGGAGATGTAAAGATTTAGCCAGTATTTGTGAAAATAGTGGTCTTTGCTTCTCTGTCTTCAATTTCCAGCTAGAAAGTGGTAATGTAGAATTAAATAATTACTCCGTGCTTCGAAACAGACTGTGTATTTTTTAAGAAATTGTAGCAGCTCTCCTGGAATGGTTATGCCCAACAACAGTTCTGTGGCTTCCACCTGCTGTGAGCTCTGATTGCAAAACAGGGAGAGGAGCCTTCATCATTCTGTTGTCCGGTCATGGGCAGAAAATTGCTTAAATTTTACACTGCAAAAGAGATCCCTGAAGTGCAAAGTATTAATAATGAAGGATCGGTTTGGACTGGGTCCTCAGATGACAGAACTTCATTGTTCATTGAGTTTGGGGCAGTACTGGGGGCAAGTATCTGCAGATAAGTGCTCGGAAACAGTAAATCCTTTTATTTAAATGATCATAATTCATGTGATCATTTATTATCCACAAACTCACTAAAATGCCAGATCTAATCTATTGTTCCAGGAGAATAACAGACCTTTTCCATAACCTGACCTGTTAGAGGCTGTGTGGAAAAGTATTACCAGGAGCTTATGTTTTTCTTCCTCTTCAACTTGATTTTATTATTATTATATTATTATTATTTACTACTGTTCTTGTTACAGTAGCATTTGATGATGTTCCTCTTTTGGCGTGTTTTAGCATAACAACAGAACAGCCCCTGCTCTGGCATCTACAGTTACAAGTACCTGCAGTCACCTTCAAGTTTCTGGACACAGCTGTTTGTACTTTCTGTATCAAGATGAGCTCTTCATAATCTTGATCATCTTCATTTAATTTTTATACTCACTAATGTATTCTAAACTAGAGCTCCAAGAATCTTTCTTAAACTACCTGTGGAGCAAATTTCCACGCTGTTTTAGGAAGCATATATTGTAACTTGCTAAGATTAATGACAGAATAATCAGCTGTATTAGTGAGACTGAAATAGTTAAATAGCACAAGATGTATTAAACCTTATTATCAGTAGCTGCTGGAACCAGGAAGTTATTTGTTGGCCAGCATAATGCCAGATAGCTGGACAGATGCATTATTGATTTCTGCCAAGTCATTGTAGATCACAAGCAAGGAGAAGGTAGGGTTTTTTAATTTTGAGCTTCTCTTTACTTTTTGAATACTAAATTGGTTGTCAGAAAATATAAACATCCTGGAAATTAATTTTCAAGCCCTTTTTTTATTCTCTACAGTAGCTCATGTTCTAACAAGGTTATTTTTTCAGCGATACTGGGTAACACTGCAGTCTGATTCATGGCCTAAATCAGGTCTCCCTTTAATGATCACAGCAACAAGAGCACCAACTCCATTTGTGTGCCACTGTGTGATTTGTTTTTCCTTCTCATCTTTGCTTCCTTTGCAATTTGACTGCTGAAAAACAGAGAGAAACTCAAACTACGCCTGTCTTTAAATAAAAACAAGCCATATTTCTACAAACAGTTTCAACCTCTAGGAACCTATGTCTGTATTAGTACTGAAAGCATGTTTCCCACAAGATTTCCGAAGACTTCATGAAATTGTTTTGTTTAATGTTAGATACATTAATTTCTGCATTTGAATTAATTTTATGGGAATATCTGATACCAAACTTGATAATAGGACATGGGGGGAAATGAATACATAGTCAGAACCTTTGTAAGGGAAAAGAAACATAATGATGCTCTTGTGGCCCTATATGTAAGAAAATGTGTCATACAGTGATAGAGAGGCTTGACAAAACTGGGTTTAATGGACAAATAATCTTCCGACGTAATGATGCCTGGATGATTGGAAATCGATTACCTACCAGCAGAACCATTGCAGCAGACCAGTGGCGATCACGCCATGAATTAGTTTCTCTGCGTGGATGCTCTGCT